CAATTGCAATCCAACTTTCTGCCGAGCTGCTAAACTTGCAGGGCGTGAGATGGTACATGGTTGCTTGGCAACCGACAGGGTTACATCCTCCTGTCGGAGAAATTTCACTTGATCCAACCAGAAGCCAGGTCGGGACCTCAACTCTCCAAGGCCGTGGTTGACCCTCCCAGGCTGCGAAGATTTCATCTGTGCATATCCCCGGTTGTCTGGTCCAATCAGGGGGTTTAGCTCTAAGTTTAGAAATGAAGGCCAACAAACACGGATCAAGCTCGCAGGAAGGAGGGTGGAAAGGGAAGTCTTGAAAATGCCTCCATAATCGGATTTTCCTGTGCGTGCTTGACGTTGTTTCCCATCCCTGAAGTGTGAGGGCCTCTCCAGTTCAAAATCATAATCAGATCGATTTTGATCGAATCTTAGTCCTGCTCCACTTCGAATTCCAAATACCTCAAAGTTCATCTCGGCAAATCTGGAGACTGTCCGCCCTGAGAAAAGTCTTGCTCCACCAGCTTTGGACTGTGCCAAAGTTGATCCAAAAAACAAAATGTGTTTGTTCTGTTTGTCATGTCACCATGGATACATACATAACAGTACACCGTACGGTATGGTATCGTATACCCAGGCCTGATGATATCGACTTCTCCCCAGACCTGACAAGTGCATTGTATTGGATGTCTGATGAATGTATGTACCTGCGGCTTCAAGCTTGGGAGTGACGAAGCTGAACAAGCTTGGAGAAACCGAAGCAGCCAAAAGGATGCCTTTTCAAAGTCGTCGCTTCTGGACAATCCATGGCCTCCGGTCTTTTGGGCCAGTCAAGACTCGAATCACATCATCGGTGTGTGATTCGTTGACGACAGATGATGGAAAATGACGATCTCCAGCCAAGCTGTTGGCGAAGGTGCCCGACCAGCAAGAGGCTTCAGCCATCCCTCTGTTTAAACTGCATCGGGCATGGCAGGGGAAATTGGCAACCAAACCTTTCCACGTTCGAAGTTTCCCCCACCCTCAAAACTTCAGGTTGAGTTTGTGACGTCGAATGCCTTGGCTTCCATCTTGACCGACTCTTCGCAAGCCGAGTTGTCCGGAGGGAGTTTGGTGAATCTGCCGCAGACGGAGCTTGTTACACTGCAAAAGCGGCTGCGCTGCAACGAAGATGCTGTGTGCCCGGTATGGAGTTTTATTTGGAACCCCCAAGCATCGCTTAACTTCTCCCACCATGGTGGTTGAACAATGCAGTGACACCACGTTGGTGCTGGGATAAGGGCCATCTAACCTTGGTGTTTGGAACGGGAGGCATGGATCATACATCATCACAATAATGCTTTTTTTTTTTTTTTTTTGGAGGGAAAGAAAATTGACGAAAAAGAAGGGATACAATCCTGGTTAAGTCCACAGAGCAAACTCAAACCTCTGTCCTCCGTGCCGAGGGCTTCGATCTCAAGCTCAACCGCATCGACTGCCAATTTGGGAGTTCTGTGATGACATCTCTAGCGCGGGGGTGTAGGATCTTGAATGAAGCGATCAACCTTCAAGATTAAGAGCGGGAAGTTCATTGGGGGTTCGTCGATGGCTAAATTTGTCTGCAAATGAAATGCTTTGGCTGGCCCACTTCCAGTTTTTCTTGTGAAAGGTCTCTTGCTTCCCTGACTCAAGGGCGAAAAAGGCAAAAGGAGGGTTGGCCGAGAACCATGATTCCGTGAGAAAGCACACATCGACATGTCATAAATTAAAGGAGCGGAAAGATTATTGTCGCAGGTTGAGCATGGGGTTTGTCATGGACCGCCATGATTTTGATTCAGATCTCCAAATTAGCTGAATCGATAGCCTCGACCATATTCACTGGGGTGTGTGCTATGATTTGGCGCCGAGTCCAAAGAAGACAGCGCCAAAAATGAGGACAATCCCGGCGCGCTGATGAGTTGCAGCAAAAGGAATGGCGGCGGTGGTTGGTACTTACGTGCGTAACAGCCTGGGTTGATCTTGGTAACGGGTATGTTTGGAAACAGAAAGCCTCGTGGCGGCCTCTGCAGCGACAGGGCGCCCGCAACTCCGCTTGACCAGCCCTAGAACATTACGGTAAGGGTCGGTATTTCATCTGTGACAGCATAACGTGAAGTTACATACATACGGTGACAGGGAAATACCCCCAATCGGGCATTCTGTTCGCTGGCGTCAAGACTTCAACCTCGTCTTCCTGTTCTTCTGCTGCTCCGAGTGAGATATGGCCCACCACCCTAAAATAGACCCAGCTGGGTATCCAATCTCTTTTGGCCTTCGCCGGTGCCTTATCCTTGGATATCCTGGGGAGACGGTGGAGTCTCAGTCCGGCAAAGTCTGGTGGGTTTGGAGCTGAAGAACCAGGGTCATGAACCCATCATGGGCGTCTGGCCGTCTCACCGATCTCGACCTCCCATCCCGATTCGAGGTAGCCCCTCATCCGCCGCCTCCTGTCGCTCAGGCTCTCCAGCAGCTTTCATCTTCACCTCCCGGACAAGGCAAAAAACAAAGGAAAAAAGTGCCCAACAGGAGGCACCTGACCACTCAGAAAATGGAAACACGCCAGGCCCGCTGGATCTGCTTATTTTAAATACCCTTCTGCTTTTACTCGCGTGGCCCCCGGTCCCTGACCCAAGGCCGTGGTGGTGTCGATGCTATTATTATTACTATCATAATCCCTAATTAACCCTCCATCTGCCCTTCCCAGAACCACAGAACGCATCCCGCCTGGTCACCTTGACTCTTTTGCCCCCTTGGTGAGAAACGATACCAATCGGATGCACCCTGTTTGATTAAAATTCTCCCCTCTCTTCCCTTCTCGCTGTTCGTCTTTTCGTCCTCTGTTTCTCCGGCTTGGTCCCTCATGCACGTCCTTCCCCTGTAGACCCCACTCAAGGCTTGTTACAGAACTCCTCTCATCCTCATTTCTTGCTCCTTTTCATCCTTTTTCTTTTCTTTTTGCGCTGCATCTGCCGTCCATCGTTTGGGTGACTTTTATCTTGGCCGTGCTCGACGGATGTCAGATCCCTGAAAACCCCCATAGCTTCCGCTAGGGTCCTTTCAAGAGTTCGTGTTTGTGACGCCAAACCAAATTTATATATCCTATCACGTTCCTCCGTCGGCCTTCTTCATCACCTCTTCGAGACGCTCTGTTTCTTTCCTTCTCTCTCCGGAAACACCCCGTACCGCCTGATTATCGTGTCTTCCGTTTTTGGATATAGTTTTTATTTATATCTCTCCCTCATACGGAGTATATATATCTCACCTTCCGTTACTCCTGGTCAGAGAACCTGTGTGATAGATCTCACCTCGCCACGGCAAAGGTGATCATTCCTTTTGAGAACATTATACCATCAGTCGTCAAAATTCCTACCCAACTCAAGAGAAAAATGGCCGGACCGGGTGGTGGACCTCCTCGCAAGAGCCATACAAAGTCGAGAAAGGGCTGCAAAACCTGCAAGCGAAGGCATATCAGATGTGATGAGACGATGCCCCAGTGGTAAGCTTCCCTGACGAAAATGGATACTCAATCGATACATCATTAATAGCTGCGGCCCCAAAAAGAAGAGAAGAGCTAACCGGTAAACTAGCCGCAACTGCACAAAGCACAACTGCCGTTGTGATTATATGGACACCTTTATAGCCCAAGAGCAAGCAGCAAGTCCAAGATGTCCAGATCTCCTCATGTCTCCTGAGATAGAAATGGAGATCGATACCTGGCAGCGAACGGGGAATCCCCCATTCCCAGAACTCCAGCCTAGTTCCAGGACCTACTGGTACAGATTCTCGAAAACGGATCTGCGACTTATTCATCACATCTCTGGATTGTCGATAGACCTGCACCGGAGAGGTTACAGCAACTGCACGGTTTGGGCTCAAAAGATGCCAATGTAAGCCCCGCATTGACTTAGTTCAAAGTCGCAATTCTCACATTCGTGATAGATTCCTCGCGATTGCTCTGTCAAGCGATTTCGTGATGAGCGCTATACTAGCTTTGTCGGCTTCTCATCTTGCTTGGATGACCCAGAACCAGGACACCGAGAATCTGGCATACCACCACAGTGGTGTGGCCATGAAAGGCCTTCATGAAGCAATCGGAAGCTTCTCTCGTGAAAACTCGGATGCAATTCTGGCAGCGTCGTTGTTGCTTTCTTGGCAAGCGACAGAATGGTATGACGCCTGGTAACCCCTACCTCTAGTTGACTGTTGCTGACACCATAAAAGGAGAAGTTGGGCTTCGCTGCAGCAGGGCGTTTCAACCGTAAGCATCCATGGTGACTTATATGCAACATTTCTCTGATTCGTTCAATAGGTCCTTAATTCGATGCAGCCGTGGTGGAAAGACGAATCGGAGCTGGCCAGATTTATGGAAAGCCAGAAAGCGTTCCGAAGTTCGCGGACACCAATGACACCAACCTATCCAGGGGCCATGGGCCAATTGCACAGTGAGGATCTTATGAGACTAGATCGCATCCTCGCGTCGCTGCAGAATATCCACCAGCGCATCTCTCACAACCAAGAACACTACCGAAGAATAACTGATCTTCTAAGTTTCGCCCATCGGCTGCGGGAAGATCTCCCTATACAATCACCAGAGAAGGCATTTGAAAGGCTCCAGCCGCTGAGAACATGGCTTTTCTGGCTACCTCCAACAATGCTTCGAGGTGGAGACTCTGATCTTGGAGCACTTGCTGTGCTTTCACAATTTTTTGGATTTGCATTGGCCCTGGAACCCATTTTCCCCGAATTCGGTGGATCGTACCTTGGCTCTATGTCCGTATCTCCGATTGAAGACATTCGAAAGATACTCTATCACCGTAGGGCCACGAACCCCTTTGCTCCGGACGTTCCTCTTGCCCTTAGCCTGATGGAATTACCTGGCGAAATCGTTGCAGAATATAGAAGCCGGCTGCAATGGTCACCTAGAACATCCTTGGACGCATATTCTTCCGGCTCACATAGCCCCTACCAGTCGCTTCCAACTCCTCATCTCCCCCCTACACCAACTACCGCGCATTATCCAGCGTATACGACCTCGCCGCTCCATTCACCCCTGACTCCAGCAATTGTTGGCTCACCATACCAAATGCCAACCATACTTGATTCCCGGCGGCATTCGCATGCCTATGCAGCCTCTCCTAGCCTTCCTCCCGAATCGATAGACGACCGAACGACAGAATATAAGCACCACCATACGACTGTTTTCAATCCTGCATACTTGGGCAATCTTATTCACCCAGGAACGCCTCTTGGGATCGATTACAGCCATTCAGCTCCAGTGGATATGACAGGAGGGTTCGTCGCTCCGGAACTTTGTTGGACCTGATAATCCACGTCTTCTTAACCCATACACCAAGCACAACTTTATGAAATGTAATTTTTCACATCACCACCCCTTCCACCCACCCACCCCCTTTCTCAATACATTACCCCCATGCACTTTGTCATCCTATTTTCAAATCCTCCTCCTTATTGAGTTGTCTACTGAGACTTGATTTTATTTGTTTTGCCAGGCACTCAACAAGACCCTCATACCGCGGCTCGATATCGAAGCCAAGGAACCTCCCACTATAAACACCTCCTCGGATGTCGCCGCTCGAAAAGCCCTGCTTTAATCCCCTCTCCCTCTCAAAACATCTTTATGACGTTCCATTTTGCACTCTAGGTAATCGTTCAGAGAGTGTCTCGCCAATCCTACATATACCTGTTTAAAATACCATATGAGTCTCTTAGCCACGGATAAACCCACGGAGGATACCTTTCACAGGAGTTTTTTTTTTTAGTGCATATCTTTCTTTAGGGGAAATTGGATGATTAGTCTTCTTGAACAATGGGAGCTAACTTCTCACGATATATTTTTTGACAATGTGATCAATATGCAACTTTTTACTGTGGGTTATGATATTTTATGGCCTCTTATCTCCTTCCTTTCTCTCATGCATGCACTGCATGCCTTTTGCCAGAATTCTTGGGCAATTATGATATAAACCATTTTAAGATAGTTATTGATCATTGATTGGCGATTGGTCCAATTTTCTCAAAACACTTTGATTACCTGTCTCCAGAGATTGATGAGATTTACCTTGTAGGCATACAGAGGAGTGATCAATGAAATATGCAGAATGAAACCCATTTGAGGACTCCCAATGCAAGCTCTTTTCCATTCTCGGTCCGCTGCTCGTGGTGGTCCACAGAGGTCAACGGGGTTGGTTATCGACGCTCCGGTTCCAGGACAGTACCGTGTAGTTGATACACAGTAATCGTAGCATTCTTTTTGCAGGCGGCTTAGAACGAGACAAGCCCTTCAAATTATGTCAGGCATTACTTCAAAATCTAGAGGATAATGCAGTAGTCTTGGGGAAAGGTGGACTATGTAGTTAAATGTGTTATCCATAGCTTCAAGAGGCGTGTGCCAATGGCCCCGTGGCTGCTCAAATGGCGAACTAACTAACTAGTTAAGTTAGGTCCTCAGCCACTGAACTTCATTGTTTGCGTTGTTTGACATCATCACAAACCTTTCTTGCAGCTGTACTCCGTATCTTCAACAGCCTTGCACAGTTCTCAAGGAAATATTCTATCATTTAGTCAATTGGCATTTTCCTGTATTTATATAACCTAGCTTTGGAGCGGCCGAGTACGTGATTGCGCGCCAGCAGTGTTTGGCCAACCAGGAATATGGCAGAAGATGCTGGTGGATGGAGCACTATTGAGTCTGACGAGGTATGCTTTGCTTTACTACAATAGATGAAGCTGCATGAATTTCCTTTTGTTCGAGCTCCCTTACCTTGTTCTTGTTGAAACATCCAAGTTGCAGACAGCTAATAGTTGTTTCTGGTGACCCGTCTAGGGAGTATTCACTTCATTAGTGGAGAATCTGGGTGTGAAAAACGTTCAATTTGAAGAGCTCATATCTCTTGACACCGACACAATAAGGTCGCTAAGGTAGGCCATCAGCAAGGCTAAGCCCGTCTAAAATCCAGCCGCAACATTTTCTAACCACCTTGCTTTCCGCCCCTCAGCCCTGTGTACGGTGTCATATTCCTCTTCAAATGGGTAAGAGGCCAAGCACCCCAGACCGATGCCCCGGAATATGGCGCCTATGACCCCTCCGCCACAGAAAACGGCCTCTTCTTCGCTGCGCAAACGATTCAAAACGCCTGCGGCACCCAAGCGATCCTCTCCGTAATTCTAAACCAAGACGGTCCCACACCGGCCGACCCAACGGGCACGGGGATCGATATTGGGCCTGAACTCCGCGATTTCAAGGAATTCACAACCGGATTCCCGCCCGATCTGCGCGGCGAGGCGTTGAGTAATTCCGCCCAGATCCGCGATGCGCACAATGCATTCGCGCGCGCCTCGCCGTTTGTCGATGAGACGTCGCGGCCCCCTGTTTCCGACGAAGATGCGGAGCTATACCACTTCATCGCATACACGCCATTCAACGGGGTGCTCTATGAGCTGGATGGATTACAGCCGTTTCCGATCAGCCACGGAGAATGCAGCGCGGCGGATTTTCCGGAGAAGGTAATCGACGCTGTGCGGATACGCATGACGCGATATGCGGATAGCGAGATCCGGTTTAATTTGATGGCGGTGGTCAAGGACCCGCGCATCCGCGCGGCGGAGATTGGGGACGTTGAAACGCTGGAGAGGGAAGAGAGGAAACGGCGGGGTTGGGCGTGGGAGAATGCCCTGAGGAGGTGGAACTTTGTGGGATTCATCGGGGAAGTGCTGAAGGGAGTGGTTGGCATGAAGGTGGAGAAGGGTGAGGGCGAGTATGAGAAGTGGGTGAAGGACGCGACGGATGCGACGGCGAAGAAGGCGAATATGCGCAGGGAAAGGGGCAATGGGGGGGAGGAATAGGGGAGTTCGTTTGTAACATGGCCATTCTACGGAGATGAACGAAGCAATGCCTACGACTGGACATTTCGTTTGGGTCGAGCTTTATTTTGTAACAGTAGGATAGATAGTTCGATTTTCGCAATGATACCATGAAATATGATATTCCAATTTTGAAACAGATTCATGTAAATAATACATCGGAAGAGAAAGTGCTCGAAAGTCCTCCAAAAGGCATACAGCGTCGATAGTTGACAAGCGCTAATTAACAGAAACGAATAAGCACGCGTCAACCTAGTCTTTTTTTACCATTCCTTGAAGCCGATTTTCCTTTCCTATTTTCACTGCTCAGAGAAATCTTGATAAAAGACGTGTTGGAACCTCCAAAAACGCCAACAAACTGGAAAGAAGCTAAAAACCACGCTTGTGAAATTGGTGATGGGATCAGCTGGTCGTCGCCCATTCCACAACCTCGAGAGCGCTCATAACAAGAATCAAAGTCGAGGGCAATATCCTAACAACAGCACATCAGCAAGATGTCAAAGATTTAATAAGTGAGAGGGACGTTAGAAATACTTACCAAACAACATAGCTCTGGAACAACAACTTCGCCATGGCACCCATGTACACATTGTTAATCTGACAGATCTGCGCCAACTGCAACGCCGACGGTGCCCCAGTGAGCAAAAAGCAGACAATCACGAATATCGGATCATCCAATATGCTCACGGGCACGTATTTCGCGGTCAGAGCTAGAACCGGCCCCATGATTAGCACGGGCAACAACATTCTCGCAAGGACCGATGCGATGATGAGATTCCGTTCTTCGCGTGGGTCTTCATGATCATGGTGCGCTTCTTCGGGGAGGGTGTTTCGCTCCAGGTTTGCGCCGAGGACGACGAGGATCAGTGGGACGGCGACGCCGCTACTTTGAGTGATGGCGCTGGTGATGGAGTTGTGCACGAACGTGCCCTTTGTGAAGAAGAGGCGTTGGAGGGAAGGGATGGATGCAACGATGATGGCGGCGAGCATGGCCCAGAGAGGCGGATTCATAAACTCCCAAACCCCGTGGAGGAAACGATAGGCTTTGTGAGAAGCCCATTTGCAGGCCTTTTGCAGCGGGAGCGGGAGAGCAGCGAAAGCGCGGCTCGTCCGTACCTTCACGAAGGCGTGGAACCGATGAATTGCGGAAGAGACTGCTTGCTTGCAGGTGCGGAGGCGACTCTTGGCCGCTCCCAGTTTCGAGGGGTCTTCGAGCGGTTCAACATTGGGAAAGAAAGCGAGGTGCCCAGGGGAGCCTTGGAACCGGTCGTGAAGCGGAGGATCGAGAGGCAACGGGGCCGTGTTCTCTGGGATCTCGATTCTGTTGCTCTGCGGCAGCTTCACGTAGGAGCGGCTCGTTTCCGAAACGGGCGTTTGGTCACCTGATGCGAAATGCGATCCCTCAGAGTGAGACGACGCATCTCCGATCAACGTCGGATCGCTTTCGTCTTCCGGATGGTCCGAGTATCTGTCCTGGGCATTTTGAATGCGCGAGTTGGCTCTTTCTTCTTCGTCACGATAGTACTGCTCTCGTGGTGCTAGGAGGACGCGATAACCCCAGCTCCATCGAAGGAGCTGTCCCAATTGTTGAAAGACCATTAGATACAGGATGCCTCGCGCAGCAACCTCGTCATCCGTATCTCCAGGCACTCTATCCCAATGAAGCCCCTGGATCGTCCTGGAAAGTGACATGACGAGAGAGATGGGGAGGGAATTCGAGTTGCCGAATACCTATCACGATTTGTGAGTCGACGAGGAACTCGACAAGCAGACTGACTCACTACTCACTCCCATGGCGGTGACAAAATTCGATGGCCGTTTCTTGAAGCGAAAGATTCGGGAAACCAGCTTGGCGCTTAGCCATGACACTATCGTCTGTGCGAGGAATATGAACGGTATGATAGCCAAATCCGCAAGCTTCCCCGCCGTCAGTTGGGACGCAAGTTTCGTGAAAACTAGAGCACAGATGCAAGTCCGTTAGCTCGTCTGGCTTTTTGTCTTAAACCCGGCAAGACTTCCGCAATCAGTGCACATACTAAGACACGGTGTAAAGAGCATGACATTCAAATTGGCCACAAATTTCTGCGCATTTGCATCGAACATTCCCAGGCGCGCCACGATGTATCCCGGCAAGCTGACACAGACAACCTCCAGGACGGCCTCGAAGACGAGGAGTGCGAGGTGCGGCAGGGGCGGATGGGAGCCATGGGGTGCTGGCGCTCCATTTTGGAGAAGATGCTGGCTATCTTGGGCTAGTGCCGCGAGAAGCGTTTCATTGAGCTGGTTGAACGGGACGTGGGAGTAGGATTCGAGATTTGCGGTGCGGAATGATCTCGGAGACGCGAGAAAAGGCATGGGGGATATAATGTGCACCAGGTATAAGAGAAAGGGGCAGGAACGTCGAAAACAAGCACTGTGTGGTCAGTGATGGACGTGGAATGGATGGATGATAGCTCGGTCGCGGCCGGGAGAGGGGCTGCTAGATATGATGCTCTGTGGGATGGCTCCAAGCTCCGTTGGGGCGGTTAGAATCAGGAGGCAGTAGGCTCCTCCGGGCTTCCGGCGAGAGTACAAGACGTGTCTGCCAAGATGCGAAGCGTTGACAATCGAATCGATGGATTGCAGAGCGTCCAGCTCGGGCCAATAAATTGGGTTGTGAAGGGTAGGACAGGAGTTGGAGATTTCACGAAGTGGCAGAGGATGTGATTTTCCGTCCACAACGGGCCGCAATGATGACGGTGAGGCGATGGCACCAATGAAATGGAATCTCACAGCACAAGAACTTGGTCGGTGGCAGAGAGCTTTGTGGCCGGGTTGTGGGATGATATCATCCACGGTTCTTTGACATGCAGCTTCGGTCACCAAGCGTGCGTAGGATGGAGAATGGAGATACTATTGTATTCACAGCTTTACAAGCAATCCCCAGGCATTCCCTCCGTCCTCTGCTCCCTCTGTGCTCCCTCCGCCGCCTCCGTTGAAACCACCGTGTCTGTCTGTGGGACATGATACCTAACTTCTAAGACCTGGCTTTGGTGGTGACGACACTGGCTCGCGGTGGCTCATTTCGACATGAAACCTGATCTCGAACCACTTCCCGGCCAATCAGCGCGCTGCATTCCGGGGTGTGCCTGGCCGGAGAATTATAAACCCGTCCGCCAAGGAATGGTGGGGTCTCAGCCACTGCAAAGCCACAGCGGCCTTATCAGTGGGGCTTGTGTCACATGACCAGTCTATCTCGCATGCCAAGACCATTAGTCACCCCGCTCGGAAACAAAGAGAATCTTCTTTAGAATGCAATCAGCAGGAGATGAACAGAGTCAACAGACCGATCATTAGAGACATCCCGAGCCAAGACGAAGTTTGCGGTGAGGTTTGGAGATTTGGTTGGGAGCTGCCAACCCTCGAAGCTTTGGCTCGCAGGAGGTATGCGGGTTCCTGTCCCACAACCCTCATCAAGGTCGGAGGAAAATCATGGTGCAATTTCACCGACCGCGATGATAGGTAGATATCATTTTATTTTCAGCAAACCTTGACTCTGTGTTTCCTTCTTGGTTTCTTGATTGCGCAATCGCAGCGGGAGTCGTCTTGGCAGGTGTAGTGTAGTGGATTGCAAGGTGCACGACAGAAAGTGATCTCAGGCGTTTTGGGTTCAAGTATTTTCCACATTCGTGCTCGAGAGGCTTTATATGGCAGCTTCGGGTTGGATTGTTTGTCCTCCCAAGTTTGTCCACAAGCTCTATCCCCGTAATTCTTTAGGGTCGTTGCAGAATATCTGACGTCAGATGGCGTTCCTGTCTCATATCTCGCAGGCAGAACAATCACGACCCAAGGTTCCCTCTTGTGCTCGACGGGAAGCATGAATCAGCTCGCATGTTTGAGCCATGAAACACAGATACCTGACTTCTTTTGTTTCAATGCCTTTTGGATTCCCGGGCCGCAATGAAAGCTTGCCAACTGCCTAGGCAACCAATACGGCCAAGCGGCTATCTCAGTAGATTTTATCTACAACGAAAGCGTAGATTCTTGCATTTCCTGCTCATGCGCGCACACATCATCCTCTCCTGATCTCGGGGTTTGAGATACGTGCGATGCGCTCATGGGAACGGGCATCATCCAGGCCTGACGCTGGACGGGGTTTGAAACGGCTGCCAAGTTCCTCATCCCGACCTGCCTTGGAAGCAGACGAAGGGCATGGCGAATGGAAACGGCGGAGGATTGGGACCGTGAAGAAATTGTCGGTACCTTGCGACGGAGCAGCACGTGGTTATCTTTGGGGAGAAACTGGGAAGAACTCAAACCAAGCAGGACTGCCCGATGGACGATTGAAAGGACACCGTAGCTCTCGTCGCCCCCCCGCATGCCAACAGGAACGAGCAATCAAAGTTTGTCAAGGCAGTTCGGCCACGGCTCGGCGGCTCCGGTGGCTGTTTTCTGTGTCCCGCCAAACGCGCGCGCTGCCAACTTGGCCGTTTGGAATCCCGCGATCCGAAGAGAGCTCCTTCCTGAATCCCGCCAGGAACACCGCGAAAGAGTTGGAAGGTCCGACTACAGGCTTTCTCGCCACGCCGGATTGAGTTGGAAATGGATAGCGTAATCCTCCCGCCTGATAGGCCGCCCCGCAGCAAGCCTGCGCGTTTCTCGCCCCTGATTGGCCGGCTTTGGGCAAGCTGTGGCGTCGGGGCTGCTCGTGATTGGTCCAGGAGAGCTCCCGCCGCCACACCAGGCAATCGCTCTTTCCCCAAGAAGCCATGTCCCAGCTCAGCGCAAACAAATTCGCCCGAAAAAGTGGAAGGCACGACTCAGAAATATCCCGCTCCTTCTTCCTTCGCGCTCCTTCCCTCCTCTCTCTGTTGTGTTTGCCCTTCGCTTTCGCATTGCGCCTTCTCACTCCGTTTCCTGCGCCTCCCGCCTGACGAGAACGTGGGGCTTTGCACCCCTCGAACCCAACCCCAGACTCGCCCGTCTAGTGACTCTCATCAGTGATCTTACTTACGTCTTGTCTGCGATCCACAATCCCCTTTCACCGATCTTGCGCCGTCCTACCGAATCGAACAGCCCGAACCCGCCGGAACCACCCTCCCACGAGTTCATGTGCTGTGGATAGCGTTCGCGACCAGCAGGAGACCGCTTCGTTCGGTTCCAATCCGAGCCGTCGTTTCGACCCCCGGGCAATCAATCGATGGAGAGCAAGGCTACAGAGGAGGTTAGGGAGGGCCCTGACCATGATTCCAGGCAGGCTGACTCCGTGGAGGAAAGCCCATTGACGAGCCCAGCCGAGAGCCCCTTGGACCAGCCCGAGAATGTCATGGTCGCTCCCACAGCACTCCCGTCCCTTCGGACCGTTTCGCACCCCATGACCCCGTCGTCGACCCCTCTTGGGCACATAAATGCAGCCAGAAGACCCGGTCCGGGCGTTGCAGCGGGCCAGTCGAGCGGTCTGACGGAGGACATACAGGCGAAAATGAAGGCGTTTTCTCTTTCACGACAGGGCGCGCGGCCAACCCAGACCCCTCGAGGTAGCGGTGGGGCGGGAGGAACAAGTCCAGTGATAAGCCCAGCAAAGGGTCCGTTGATGGGTGGAATAAACCCTAATGTCCTAGGAGGAACGCCTACGCTCGCTGGTCGTCTGCCCGGTGGGCTGTCAAACGCAAGGCTCCCGCCAACGGGACGACCCGCGCCGGGAAACTGGTCCTCCATGCCAGCCGTGGTCGGACGCAATCCATCAATGGCTCCGAACCAGCCAGGCGGCTTGGCGGCGAAGCGTGGCATGAAGCAAGGTATGAAACTTTCTGATGCTGGAGGTCCACCCCGGCCGACATTCAAAGCACCGGCCAGTTCACCAAATGTGTCCGGGGCTCAATCAAATGCTCAGTTCGCGGAGACGCAGTCTGGGTTCACTAAATACTCTGAAATCATCGACACCCAGACGGGCACAATCAAGTTCAAGGATAAAGCGGTCATCCATGGTGGTGGTATCGATTTCACCGGAGGTCGCAGCTTCAATATCTCTCTGGATGACGTGGAGACGTTGGATGAGCTGGGCAAAGGGAATTATGGTACCGTTTACAAAGTCCGCCATTGCCGGCCGCGCATTCGAAAACCTGGCGTTGGACTGAGAGGGTCTATGGCATCGCATCAGTCTGATACTGGCCCAGTGCTAGAGGAGAACCAACCGAACAAGCTGTCAAACGTGGTCATGGCAATGAAAGAAATTCGCTTGGAGTTGGATGAGGCCAAATTCTCTGCCATCATTATGGAGTTGGATATCCTGCATCGCTGTGTGTCGCCATTTATTATCGACTTCTACGGTGCCTTCTTTCGGAGGGCGCGGTGTACATTTGCGTCGAATACATGGATGGTGGTTCTATGGAAAAGCTATATGGCGACGGTGTTCCAGAGAATATCCTGAGGAAGATTGCCCTTTCGACGATCATGGGTTTAAAGGCGTTGAAGGATGAGCACAATATCATACACCGTGACGTCAAGCCAACCAATATCCTCGTTAATACTCGCGGGCAAGTAAAGATATGTGACTTTGGTGTCAGCGGAAACCTGGTCGCGAGTATCGCCAAGACAAATATCGGATGTCAAAGTTATATGGCTCCGGAACGGATAGCTGGTGGAGCCCCGTCTGCTGGAAGCGATGGCGGATCGTACAGCGTGCAAAGTGATATTTGGAGTTTGGGACTGTCCATTGTCGAATGCGCTATTGGACGCTACCCTTATCCTCCCGAATCTTACAATAATATTTTCAGCCAGTTGAATGTAAGTTGACCTTTTGGACTCTTTCACCTTATCGTATATCTCCGCTGACCAGACATTTTCAAGGCTATCGTTCAAGGAGACCCACCGACGTTGCCGGTAGAAGGGTACTCTCCCGACGCTAGGGATTTTGTTCAATGTTGTCTCAACAAAACCGCTTCGCTGCGTCCTTCTTATGCTACCCTCCTCCGGCATCCCTGGGTAGCCCGTTTGCTGACGCCCCCTGCTTCAGTCGAAGGAGGAGTGGAAGGGGGCGCAGCGGCCCAAACTCTTGCGAAAGAAGAACCGGGGAAGAGCACATTACCCGCGGAGTCTTTTGACACTGCTGATGAAGAAGTCGCTGCATGGGTTAAAGAGGCCGTGTACAAACGAAAAAATGGCACAATGGGGGCCCATGCTCAGCCGGCACTTCATAAGGTCGCTCTTGACGCAGTGCCAGGCAGTCCGCTACTCGATAATCCGTCTCAAGTGGCGCCCTTCCCAAGATAGCCCGGCAACAAAACGCAAGAGTGACGAAACCGTCTCTTCGCCGCCACTGAAGGGTTGAATACCCGTGAAAGATCTCAGTGCCCATAGCAGGTTTGAAGTGCGGCGACAGATGCCGGCCATTTGTTGCCTTCCTGCGCCTTGACCTTTTGTCATTACTTATAGAATCACTTCAAGATCTCGTTATTTGCATTGTGAAAGCCGTTTCCTTAACTGCATCGATCTCCGAAACCCCTTGTGTCGTTTTTTTTTTGCATCCTGTTCTTATGTATAGCAATCATTTCATTGATCTGGCGGCCGAATGTGTGTTTAGCATGATTGCCTAGCATTATCTTTTTGTCCTTTTTTTGGGTGCCCCCCCAGCTATCAATACAATCCCTTCGCTCTTCAGACATATCGATAAAAAGCGTTTGGTCGCGTATACCCCGATCCCGAGGAGCAGCCCGTTCTGTTAGCTCGAACTCGGCGCCTTTTGCAACTCTGGCGTGCTGCACGGAGTATAAGGCATGCCCTGCATGTATATGTTTAGGAAGGCTTTCTGGAAGGGTTTTGTATAAGATGTAGATTAAAACAATTGGATCATCTTGTGCTGGTCGCTGCCGATAAGTCTCCAGCCGATCGGCGATCAAACTCGAAATTCCCGAGCTGACTAATTTCCGGGGACTAGAACCGACCATTAGTCAGAGAATCGCTGGTGATGTCAAGCAAACCCGCTGTTGCTTGTAAGTTGTGGGCTCAATTGCAGACGGCAGCCAGAATTCCATTATTAATTCCAGTTTTGCTTCAATTTGTGCAGAAGCTCGAATTCGCTGCATCTCACCCCCATTCCTTTCCGCCCCGTCCTCTTCTCCGTTCCTAGCCTTTTCCTGCGAGATTTTTCCTCCCCGCAGTCCCCTTGAAAAGCGCTCCCCCCTCCCCCCCCTGCTCAAGACCCCAGCGTAGGAGAGGAATGCTTGTCCCCTGCCCTCGCCCCTCGAATACATTAATTCGAAGTAGCCGCCTGTTTAGGGACACGTCGATCTCTTCTAGAACCCTTTCTTGCTCTCTCTCCGCCGGCTCCCGTGTACGATTCCTGAGCAACGGAACCCACGGAACCAGGCCGTTGGTTCCTGTCCAGAGTAGCAGCAGTATATCACCGCGAACGCTGGCGACTTCGAACCGTCTCAAATCCGTTACTCGTCATATCTCGAGTGCGCCGGCTCCCGGTGCAAAGAAAGAGTTATCAGACACAATGGCTCCGATTGACGGTGAGGTGAAGAAGTATGACTATATTGTCATTGGTGGAGGGAGTGGAGGGAGTGGTGCGGCGCGGCGTGCTGCGGGGTGGTACAAGGCGAAGACCCTGATCATTGAGAACGGTAGATCGGGAGGGTGCTGTGTCAATGTTGGGTGGGTGTTGCCTTGCGATTTGCAACTTCTTTACAACAGGATGGGATAACTGACAACGAGAGTGGGATTTAGGTGTGTCCCGAAGAAGATGACATGGAACTTCTCGTCCATTGCGGAAGCGCTACGTGACGGTGTGCATTATGGGTATGATATCCCCAAAAATATCTCCGTGGACTATGGTACTTTTAAGCGAAAGCGCGACGCCGTTATCGAGCGCTTGAATGGTATCTACGAGCGAAATTGGAATCGTGAAGGGATTGATCTCGTGCATGGAACGGCCAAGTTTGTCGGACAGCAGGAGCTCGAAGTGTCATTGCAAGATGGCAGTGGGACGGTTCGCTTCGCCGCGCCACATATCCTGATCGCTACTGGTGGATACCCCATAGTCCCCAAGAATATCCCGGGTGCTGAGCACGGCATCACCAGTGACGGCTTCTTCGAGATCGAGGATCTGCCGCCAAAGATCGCCGTTGTCGGTTCCGGATACATCGGTGTGGAATTGGCGGGTGTGATGCACACCGCCGGCGTGGAGACGCATTTGTTCTGTCGCCACGAGACGTTCCTGCGGAAGTTTGATCCTATGATTCAGCATACCATGACGAAGCGTTATGAGGATGTAGGGATGAAGATCCACAAAAATTTCGCTGGGATCAAGGAAGTCAAGCTTCTGCGTGAGGGTAAAGGGGCGGAGAAGTTGCTCAAATTGACAATGAACGATGGAAGTGAGATGGAAGTCAACGAGTTGCTTTGGGCTATTGGTCGCGCACCGGCTGTTGATAATCTGGACCTCAAGGCGGCTGGCGTCAAACAAATGCCCAGTGGCCATATTGTGGCTGATGAGTTCCAAAACACTTCCGTCAAAGGCATTTATGCTCTCGGTGACGTTACGGGCAAAGCCGAGTTGACTCCAGGTATGTCAACCCAAAATAATACAGACGTATGCAAATTCGTTTGACTAATTGGTATCAGTTGCCATTGCCGCCGGCCGCCAGCTTGGAAACCGCCTCTTCGGTCCTCCAGAGCTCAAATCGTCGAAGCTCTCATATGACAACATCCCCACCGTTGTATTCTCACACCCCGAAGTTGGCTCCATCGGCTTAACGGAGCCCGAAGCCGTACAGCAATACGGCAAGGAGAACCTCAAAATCTACCACACCAAATTCACCGCCATGTTTTACGATGTAATGCCTCCAGAAGATAAAGCTCATAACCCGACTGAGATGAAACTCATCTGTGCGGGACCCGAAGAGAAAGTCGTTGGGTTACATATTCTAGGCCTAGGCGTCGGCGAGATGTTGCAGGGCTTTGGTGTTGCCGTGAAGATGGGCGCGACCAAGAAGGATTTCGATAGCTGTGTTGCTATCCATCCTACGTCTTCCGAGGAATTGGTGAGTGAATCTCAGCGTAGAGGTGGTGAAGCCGTTTTGTGTGCTTTTGCTAACGCATCGCAATAGGTGACTTTAAGATAAAAGGACGACTAAAATTTATTATTATTTCGGATCCCCGCCACTTTAGACCATTCGAAGTTGATATTTGATAGAAAAATTAAACACTGCATATATGTATTTTGAACGATATTTATTGAATATAATCCAGGGTTGTTAAATCAATGGCCTGCCACAAAAGTTCACCGTTGCCCGCCCTTTGCCCCCCACTACATGCTAACGCCTACACTCTACAATTTAGCCTTCTCCGACCGCGGCGTGAGATCGATGGGGTCCCACCAGGGATAAATTGATGGCATGTCGTCTGGACTCGTCACTGAAGCTTTGAACTGAGGCTTTCTCTTTTCAAAAAAGCTCTTGATACCCTCTTCGTTGTCCTTGCCTCCGAACAGGCTGTAGATGACTGCAGAATCGAGGAGGTGGGTTCCTTCGGGGCTACTGGGCCCACGATACATCAGATCCCGCATGAGCGATGTCGAGACGGTAGAAGTGTTCTCCGCAATGTCCTGTGCGATTTCCAGAGCGCGATCCATGGTTTGCTGGGCGGTGGGGAGAACTTCGGAAAATAAGTCGCGCAGAAGGGGATGGTCGGGGGGATAGGTGGCGCCGGTGGTGGTGAGGTGGAGGGCGCGAGAGTGGCCGATGAGCCGTGGGAGGAAAAAGGAAGATATCGCTTCCATGATGAGGCCGCGGCGGGCAAAGACGAAGCCGATTTTGGTGTTGGCGGTTGCGAGACGGATAGTTGCGGGGAGAGTCATGGTGATGCCGATGCCGACGGCGGAGCCGTTCAAGGCCATGATGGTAGGTTTGCGGCAGTTGTGGATTGCGAGAGAGACTTTGCCGCCACTGTGTGAGCAGATGGGTTAGTATCAAGGGTATATCCAGGGAGTGAAGGAAAGGGATACAACATACCCATCTCGATGATCCTTGACTCTGCTGACATCTCCTCGGTTCTGACGGCCGTTCTTCCCCTTGCCCTTGGGAAATCCAATCTCCAAGTCGGCGCCGGCGCAAAACGCCTTGGTTCCTGCGCCTGTGACCACGACAACCTTTACGCGGTCATCTACATCGACCGTGTTGAATACCGACACCATTTCGTCACACATAAGAGGTGTGAATGCATTGAGTTTGTCAGGCCGGTTGAGTGTCAGGAGGAGGACGGGTGTCGGTGTTGGGGAAGTAGCAGGGACATGGGAGAGCTTGATGTGCTGCGTGGGAAGAGCAGCGTACGACGCAGGGGGAGTGATTGGTGCCATGCTGGTATATCTCCGGGGCCTTTGGTTCGTAGGCTTGGGTTGAAAGGTTATGGAAATGGTGAAGGATGGAAGTGTTGATATAAGAGGGTCAGATGGCGACTAGTACCTACAGGCCAGTGAAGAAAGCTATCCAGGCTCTAAAGCTATTAGGATAGTTGGGTCTTATAGTAGCTGAGAGCTGGATCCCCCAGTGGCAGATCAGCGATATTTGTACCGATGCATCGGCCCCATGATGCGCGACAGCCGAGCTTAGAGGATGTGGTGGCCCGGGGTTAACATGCGGGGTTTGACAGCGTTTCTTAATTCCCTGTATACTGATGTATCTGCCACCGCTCAGCTGAGAAATGATCAGGTAATACGGATCCAGTGAAATGATTGAGATCGAAACTGCGGTGTTTCTGGCATGTCGCTTCAGAGTCGGCGTCTTGTGTCACGGTCCGTTGAACAACAGGGCATCGAGCCTCGTTGCAACATGTGGCGGCCGACTACTGCTTGTAAGGAACACTTTTGACGGGGAATAATTAGATCAGAGCTGCAACCGCGATTGATTTCAGGCACGAATCTGTGCCAGCTGTTTTTGTTTCTCTCGAGATTGTTTAGTCGGCACATTCTGTCCTGCGCTCGGCAACTCCGCGCATCCTCCCGGCGGCCCTTAGCCGAATCCCCGGGACTAGTTACGGCATGCGCGCGGAATGAGATATAAGACCATTTCAAAGAGTCCAAAATTTCATCATTCATACCAACTAGATACGCTAACACTAATAAACCATTTGACGTCGTCGCATCATTAGCCTTGCAGATGGATCCGGGTACACGTTCTCATCAATGCTCAAGTTGCGCGGGCGACCCTGGCCCTCAGGAAATTTGAAATCAAACTTCAAGATCAAATGGCCAATGATCATTTTAACGATTTGGGATGCGAAAAATCGGCCTGGGCAGGCGTACTTGCCATGGCCGAAATGGATGTTGTTCGAGTCCGTGGAGGCGAATTGATGTTTGTTGGCTTCCTTGGGGTCTTCGCGAATTCTCTTGTACCGGAAACCATCGAACTCATGTGGATTCTCAATGATGGCAGGGTCTTGGAGTATTGAATACGAAGCCATACCGAAATGTGTTCCCTTTGGGAGTCGTGTCCCGTCAGAGAGGGTAAGAGACTTGCGGACAACTCGATTGAAGGACACTACAGACCAATTGAGCTGATATTAGGGTCGATTAATTTTTGCAATCGAAGTGTCTTCTTAACTTACCGTAACTAGGCGGGTTAACTCGTTGCGATTCTTTCATGAAGCTATCAAGACCAACCAGCTTGGTGATTGTCGTCCTGTCCCATCCACCGTCAGCCGTCAGAGCACCGAGAACCTCCGTCCGCAGGCTTTCAAGATATTCGGGATGGTCGCAAATGTCGTACAGAGTTTGCACAGCGGCCGTGGTTGTTGTATTCAGCGACCCGAGACTCAATGCCAATTGGCGATGAGCAAGCAAGTGTGGTGCGGCTTCATTCGGCTCGGCAAGGTCCATTAACCATTGGAGCAGGTCCTTGGGTTTCTCGTAATTTAAGTCCCCGGAGGCCTCATCGCGACGTCTTTGCAGGATAATGGGAACCAATACGCGGTTTGCCGTGGCGAAATTGGAGCGAAGCTGCCAGTAAGAAGGCAAGAACAACGCAACGGTCGAGCGCATAAAGGACGGGAACAGACGCAAGGGCCCAATGGTTGTAAAAACATTCGCCGGATACATAGTATTGGTCATTACCCAATCTTCATCCCTGCAGGCAACTGGTCCAGTGAAAGCACGGGCGGAGAGTCTTGCTACGAGTCGGCGTACTATGCCGTGCATCTGTACTTCAACCCACTCGTCTGTACTCGAAAGCCTATCAGCCGTAAAGTCCCCCCATCAGAATACTAAGCGGTAAATACCTTTGCAGTTAGGAAGCTCCACGCTGATGGCATAGTCAAGCTCATCTTTCAACGGCTGGACGAGAGATCCAAGATTGGGGGTCAACCTTGTTTGTAAGGCTTTGTTATGGAGATGTCCGTTGAGTAAGATATCTGTCCCTGTAATGGGCCCGAGAAGGGTCTGTGGCCATCTGGTAAGTTTTCTAGGCCTCCGTTTGTCACTAAGAGGATAGCAACATTACCCGAATGTGAGCTTCCATGGCACATATTTGCTCTTCAGGAAGGCTCCTCAACTCCTCAACAAACTTCTTAGGAATCACCAAAAGGTCGGAGTTGCGTTTTGCAATTTTGAACATTGCATCTCGATACTATAAGCCCAGAATAGGTGTTAACCATTTCAATTTGCGAGATGGAATGCCGACCCGCAGGCCTGTACTCACTCGACGGTATCCTTCCTGTATAAGTCGAGGGGCTTCATGTGAGCATCGACGGCTTATCAGCCATATCGGCTCCCACGATGATTCATAGCCGGCATACGGGGCCTTGACGCTAAAAAAGATCCTGTTCACTAATTGCCATGAAAGAAAGACAGTAACACCAAAGACAAAAACAGCAGGCTTTTGACACGAAAGTTTCAGCCAGGTATCGTTCAACGTGGACTGCATATTTCTCAAAAGGGTATTCTCAAACAACGGCATTTTTAACAATCAATCCGCTCTCCTCAAAAGGGATAAACGCAACGGTGTCAAGATAGGTGCTGTTTCATGATTTAGTTTGTCCGGAGCGGGACCATGAAGTTTCTATTATAACTACCGCTCGAGTCTCGCATTTGCAAGAAAGCTTCGCCATCCCGGCCACTTCCATGCAGGGTGGGGGAGAGCCACAGCAAGCAAGCTTTATGGGCAAAGAATACGGGAGTGACTGCAAGCCCCTGATAACAACGAAATGTCCGGCGGGACGCCATGACGATACCAGTGTTGGCCATTGGCCATATACTTTCAGCAAGCATTGACAGCGTGGCCAACTGTGAGGACGAACATGCATGTGCAGACGCAACAACGCATTTCTCAGGATTTCCGCGAAAGGTGCGTTGTGCCAAGAAGTGGAGTGCGGCGCCAGACCGACAGAGCTGGAAGACGCCGCATTCGATATCTCGAAAGCCTGGATTCTGGGCCTCTGGCACCGTGATGGTCGGTTAGATGAATGGATTGCGGCAGTTTCTGTGTTGTGGGAGGATGTCCTGCAGGTCCAAGGACTGTCCCACGGCGCTGGGCGTTCCCATGCCCATGGATATCAGCGTGGTTATTTTCTTTCAGCCGGCGCCATCCTCGTAAACGATGCCGGGAGAGAGTTCAAGAAGCGCCAGTCTCCGCCAGAAGAACCCCTGTCTCCCATAGGTCAAGGTTCCATTCCAGCTGCGCTCCACCTTCGCCTGGAGGCGTCCTGCAGATGCTCTCACACATCGGAAGTGCAGCAATCTGCCATCGGTTTCAGGAGATGATCAACAAAGAAGGCCAGTTGAGATGGTCAAGCAGATTCGCGATATTCAAAATCCAGCGTGGTTTTGCACTGTTTGCAGCCCCTGATTATTTGCTCGAGACTAAATTCCATTTGGATGAATAAGCAACGCTCCAGACGCTCTAATTGGCTAAGATGCGTCAACTCCTTCTAACCAGTTGACCAAACCTCACAGACCCTTTACCAGCTGGGATTTCATCCTCGGGGCAAGAGTCCATTGCACGCATGCGGCGACTGAACGTGGCCACCAGAGCATTGCGCTCAGTACGGACTCGGCCAACTGCTCAACGGCACACGCAATGGGGAGCTCATCGCATACTGCCCCTTTCCACCACGAGAGCGTGCTCCTGCACCGCGCCCAAGCCCTCCGAGCCGTGCGATAGAACAACGCCCTCCGCTTCGACTCCCGCACCGGACCATCGAACTATCGGAGCCGCCCAAGATCTCTTTGCAACCTCCTTGTACAGTCCCGGATCGCCCCTCTTCCAGCCCAATGGCACCCACATACTCAACAAACTTCTCGCTTTCCTTCGCGCACAATACCGGCAGTATGGCTTCCAAGAAGTGCTGACACCAACCATTTACAAAAAATCTCTGTGGGAACTGTCTGGCCACTGGCAGAACTACAAGGATGATATGTACGAAGTGCGTGGTCGCGGTGCCACAGGGGAAACCACGCACGGCGAGATTGGCGAGGACGAGTCTTATGGACTCAAGCCGATGAACTGTCCGGGCCACTGTTTGCTGTTTAAATCGCAGAAGTGGTCGTATCGCGACCTTCCCGTTCGATATGCGGATTTCAGTCCTCTCCATCGGAATGAAGTGTCCGGTTCCTTGTCGGGTTTGACGCGCGTTCGCCGATTCCACCAGGACGATGGCCACATATTTTGTCGACCCCAGCAGATCGGAAGAGAAATCCAATTAGCGTTGAAATTCACCGATACTGTTATGAAGACATTTGGGTTGGGAGAATATAAGCTTGTCCTTTCTACAAGGCCGGAAAAGGATTTCATCGGAAGCCTTGAATTATGGGACGCGGCTGAAAAGCAACTTAAAGATGCGCTGGAAAAGAGTGGAAGGAACTGGGAAATCAACGAGGGCGACGGGGCTTTTTATGGCCCCAAGATCGACTTTCAGCTTCAAGATTCTGATGGGAAATTCCATCAACTATCCACAATTCAGCTGGATATGAACCTACCCCAACGGTTTGGCTTGGAGTATATGGTTCCGGAAGGGGAAGAGGACTACAATGCCTCAACTGATGGAAAGGGCACGCCGGTCTTGATACATAGGGCGATTTTCGGGTCCTTGGAGCGCTTTTTCGCGCTTCTGATTGAGCACTATAATGGCCGATGGCCATTCTGGCTTTCACCCCGCCAAGCCATAATTTTGACTGTGAATCAGGACGACGACGTATTGAAAGCCGCTGATGAAGCTGCTGCGAAGATGTGCGGCTATCAAAGGATTCCTTTCCATGAAGCAAACGAACTGGAAGCTCCATCCCAACCGCTATCACCGCTCCAGCCAAGTTTCCACGTAACTGTGGATAAGTCTGCACGCTCTCTAGCAAAGAAGATTAGAGAAGCGCAGATAATGAAGTACAACCTCATCTTCGTGATCGGCCCGAAAAACTTGGCTGACGGGAGTGTTGATGTTGACTTCACCGGCCAGATAGCCAGGAACAGCGAAAAGACGCAGGGCTTTTTGGACCACACTCCGGGCTGGGATGTGAACCTCTCTCCGAATGGAAAGACAGCCAAGATGAAAATGAAGATAAACGATGTCTATGACTGGCTAATTCGGCTGGAGAAACAGTTTTGTTAAGCTCCCCCCTACCAACCCCAAGACGATCGCCCAATCCTACTGGCGCCGATTGAATCTTTGCAGCCGAGTATCTGTATTTGTATGTACTATAAAACATGTCTTGCTGTTAGATCTAGCGCCTTGATCTATAAAACCGCATAACCTCTAGATAAAAGTATTAATTAGTTGTGATGACAAAATGCACCTTGATGTTTGTTCACTTTGTTCCACCAGAAAGTCAAAACTCAACTTCGACCAGAGCGGATGAACTTGCAACTCCCCCGCCCGAGAGCTCTCACCCAAAGATCAAGCGCAACTGGAACCCTTTACCTAGCGAAAAGGCACATTCTGCCAGTAGCTAGTACTTGCTAGATGGCCGACGGACCATCTCTGCCTACCTTTTTCACGCCCTTTGTTGGTCCCGTCGGTTCAAATGTCTGAGGCGAATTCGAAGCCTGGGGTTCCCAGGAAGAGCGCCTTTTCTTGCGAGGCATGTCGGAAACGCAAGGTTTGGAACCCAGTCTCCTCGAGGAAGTCTTTGGAAAGGAAACGACCCATGCTGACTTTGGATCCGTTTTTCCGGCGCAATCTAGGTAAAATGCAACGGAGCCAGCCCCTCATGTTCCCGATGTGCTGCGCGCGGGGAGGTCTGCGTTTACAGCCTGTATGCCAATGATTCACTCTCGGGTTCTCTGTCCCGATTATTGACGATAGTAGGACACCCACCCTGTCTTATACTAAGTCCCTCGAGAACCGAATCGCCGAATTAGAAGCGGAACTAGAAGCGGTACAGAATCGGGTCAGGGAGCAAGAAGGCGCTGACCTAAAGCTGAAAGTGGAGGAGCCCGAGATCAACGCGCCATTAGAACGATTAACCCGGCACCCAAGTGCGCCGCAAGATGGGAAAGACACCTTGGACTTGGCTCGAGATATTGAAGGACTGACAATGGAGGATGATGGGCGAATATCTTTCCATGGACCGACAAGCTTATTCCAACTGCCGAGCGGAATCCCGCAAGAGGCATCGAACCCCGTCCAGGCAGAACAGGAAATGGACGGCCGAAAGGAGAGACTGATTAACAATGCATGGAGAGAGCGGGCATTCGAGCAACTTGCAACAATCCCTGTGGGTGTTCCCATAGCTCTGCGCGATCGGGACGGCGATACTGATCTTCTCCAGGAACCTTTTCATTACCTCCTTGACTCGCATTGGTGCTGGATACATCCTCTTTTCAATTTTGTCTATCGACCGGCTTTTACCCGTAAGTTATGGAACTTTGATCAAAATCCCTTGAAGCTACCGATGTTTATGACCCTTGCTTGGAGTAGGTGATATGAAGATTAATGGCCCATACTATTCTGATGTCCTTTTGAATGCAATTCTGTCCCATTCGCTCCGATGGTGTAAGAGCGAACCAAAGATCAGTCGACTACTGGATCCATATGACGGTGGCACTCAATTTTTCAACAGGGCAGTTGATGGGTTGTATGAGAGCCTTAAACATGGGAATGGGCAAATACCAATCGTGCAATCCTTGCTATTACTGAGTGCGCAGGAGTGTGGCCGTGGAAACAGGACCCAGGCGTGGCTCTATAGTGGGATGGCGTTTCGTCTGGTGGAAGACTTGGGAATCACGATTGATAGTCGGAAATACTCAGGCTCGATTCAATTCTCAGATGAAGATGTGGAAATCCGGAATCGCCTCTTCTGGAGCTGCTACTTTTGGGACAAATTGGTGTCATTGTATTTTGGGCGGTCTCCGATAATTCAAGATACTCCAGTCAGCCCGCCTCAGATCCTTTGTGAGTTCAAACCCCGTCCATGCTTCATATACTCCACTTCGGCCGTTAACATGAGTCTCATTCAGTGGATGACACTGCTGAAATAGAAATTTGGACCCCGCATGGAGTCGTCTTCCCGGAAGGCACACATTATCCACCAACGCAAGCCCACTCAACATCCTGCTTTATGAGGATGTGTTCGCTGTCCGAGATTCTGAATCAGATAATAATACACATTTACGACCCCGTTCGACAAAGCAGCGAATCACAAATACTTAATTGTGTTCATGAACAAGGCGATAATCTTCAGAAATGGTGGAATGAGCTACCCGTTTTCTTAAGACTGACGGTCACTGACCTCCCTGCGTATTGCCCTCCAAGTCATATTGTCACGTTGAAGTAAGTCTTCCTTTCCCACTATGAGTGAGCTGCTTCCCCTTCTTACTTTTGTCATAGTTGTATCTATCATATCACCAATATCCTTCTACACCGACCGATTCTCTGCTCGAAACCGTTTAGGAGCTCCGAAAACGCAGCAGACAACGCAAATCATCTGGTTCAATGCCTTTCTTCGGCGACGTCCATCATCTCCCTTTACGACCTCTACCGACGGACATTTGGGGACTCCCATGTTGTTCTTTCTCTTGCATACAGCCTTTATACTGCAGCCTCAATATTTCTCCTGGAGATCCAAGCGCTAAAATATGCCTCAGCCTCGACTTTGGAAAAGCTCAGGTATTGTATTCTCGCGCTAGAACGTGTTCGACCTGCGAATCCAGGTACGTTGCATGCCACAAGTCAACATTCTTACAATATGTGATTTTTTCTAACCGACGCCTCCAATGTTTCTTCAGTCATCAATACTGTTCTTGGCCTTGTTGAAAAGGAACTACAAAAGCTACATATCAATATTATGGAGCCAATACACCCTGATCCTCAACCAATACCGTCTCGTTTAACATCGCAGCACACCCACGAAGCCCGCCAGTTAGACCAACATTCACAACAGCATACGCTTCATTCTCCAGCTACATACACGCTCCCACCCCATGGAGCGTTCAGCATCACACCGCCGCCTTTCAAGGAACAAAATTCAGATATGTCTTTTACAATGGATCCTTCCTTGTTGAATCCCGGGGAATTCTCGCAACAGTACGATATTGCTCCGGAGCTGTTTGAAGCATTTTCGTATGTAGAACCTATGACAACGAATGTCGGCACTGACGAGTTTGATCCTACCTGGTCTTCATCTACAGGTTGACCAGAAGCCGTTAACGAAATCGTCCTTCCGAGATGAGCATATTTGAAGCCTCTTATGAGGATGATGATGTACATTGCTTTGCACACTCCATCGGCTGGCCTATTGGAACGATATGCTTGAATGTCTTGATGGCAAAATGGGATTCACACGACTTAGAAATGAGTCTGATATAAAGTTTGGAATTACGACCTCAATATGCTGAAGCCGGCATCCTCTTTTCGGTTTGGATTCCAGCCTTAGCGGACCTATCAACGGGGCATACTTCCACCGTCAGCTACGCTTAAGCGTTATGGGCTGAAAGAGCAACCCCACCGAAGCTTCCAATGGAATTTCTATTTCCTGTCTAGCCGGTTGAGAACCACAAAAGTAGGGAGAGACGTCCCCCGCATTACTCCTTACGGAAACGCACATATATATATCACAAATCTTAGCGGGAAGGGAACTTTGATATCCCATTCTTTCTTGCTTTCAAATCTGAATCTACCTTCTTGCAGCATGAAAGTAACAACCGCTTTAACGGCCTTTGCGTTGCCAGTCCTAAATGGCCCAATTTCGCTATTCTCCATCAAAGAAAACGGCTCCTTATCTGAAACGTTCTCCTGGTTGCGAAGATACCTCACATAGGGGTTGTCGTATCTCGCAATGAACAAATGCATTTCGTGCCGATCCCGCGATAGCAGCCTGGATTGGTACTGTTGCCAAGTCAACGTTGCAAAAACGGTTAACGAGTTCACTCTCGATGACCAAACAAAAAGAAACCCCTGCATTACGTCGGAGAAGTCAACAATCAAATCTCAAAGACGAGATAAAACCCACACTCCCCCGACACTCGAACGCTTTAACCGCCCCGTACACTATCCTCCAATTCGAATCGTTTCCCGATATCCCGCCACCAAAACATGAAGAACCCATCAACCGAGACCATAGAACGACGCAAGGAAATATGTGTGTGATCTCAAGGTTGCGGCTTTTGATTTAATCCAGCTATATGACTTATCTGAAGCTCCATTAGATTGTAAAGTGCTCACAATTCATAGCTGTTTGTTGTCTTATCCAGCTTAACGATCATGTAAGGCTTTGGAGTTTGCCAGTTAACTACTCCGTAGTTAGTTAGTTATACAAGCGGGCTTCTAGGCTTTTTATTTGCAAATGTTACCGTGTGACCATTCTAAAAATTGAACTACGTATGTACGGAGTAGAGCCTTGATTTACTGATTGTTACTTAAGTGGCGACAGGATTTATTTATACCTGGTGTTTGTGCTAGACCCAATCTCGTGCATCGTGGGAAGCGTCACACAGTAGATTGAGCTGCTGATCCTTCCTTTGATTTTCTATTTAGACAGACAACTGGGCATTGCTTGCTCACCCCCTCAACAACATGGCGGAATCCACGCTGAGAACGGCTATTCCACCCCAGTCATGGGATAGCCATATGCACATCATTGACCCCGATCGATATCCACTGGCCCCAGATGCCCGGTATAAGCCTCAGGCACATACGCTTCCCGATGCCATAAACTTCGAATCCACCGTCGGGCTTTCCAACATGGTTCTCGTCCAGCCATCCATCTACGGTCTTGACAACTCCTGTCTGCTTGATGGTCTTCGTGAGTTGGGCCTTCGTCGTGGGAGGGGTGTTGTTGTCATCGATCCATCAACCGCACAGCCAGAAACCCTACGCGAATGGCACCGGCTCGGAATCCGTGGAGTTCGGCTCAACCTCCGATCAGTCGACCGGCAAATGAGTGCTGAGGAATTAATCTCAGCGGTTCGCAGGCATGCAGAGGCCATTTGGCCTTTGAACTGGGTCCTGCAACTGTATATCCCATTGAGCAGCGTTCCGGTCCTGCTAGACATCGTCTCCGAATTGGGAGTGCGGATTTGCCTTGATCATTTTGCGAGTCCGGAACTTCCTGTTGCAGAGGCAAATATTACTTCTTCTTTCGATCCATACTCGTTATCAGGATTCGCCGAACTTATCACGCTCCTCCGACAAGGAAACACCTACGTCAAAATATCCGCTCCATATCGACTTAGCGACGATCCAGATATGAAGCAATTAAGTGTTATCGCTCTCGAGCTGCTGCAAGTTGCACCCAATCGACTAGTCTTTGCTAGCGACTGGCCACATACACGTTTTGAGGGATTGAATATCGCGCCATTCATCAGAAAATGTTTGGATTGGTGTGGCGACGACAAAGGACTAGTTGAGAAAATATTTAGGCGGAATGCAGAGGAGCTCTGGGATGCACAGGAGGATCGATCATGAGATAGTGGCAGATGTAATTGTATTCCGTTTGCAGATACGCAATATGTATTGAATTCAGAGGAAGAAAATTAACAACATAAAGCTTTATGTATTATCAACACCAAGGACAAGCAACCTACGGCTCCGGAGCGAGCAAAAACGGCTATGTAGACAATTGCTGGGAGTATGGGTGTAAGGAATAAACAAGTGTAAACACAGGGTTCGAAACAGAAAATATCCCACAAAATCCTTTGCACATTCTCTCATGCCAAACAAAAAGCTGAGACTGCTGGATGGATGCCCCAAAAGAGCAAGGGCCAACAGTCATACATGCAAGCCATGGGCAACGACAATTAATCAACTGAAAGAGATAAGCGAATCAAAAAGTTTTGCGGATTCAAATCCTTTCGACCAGTTCTCGGCGTTTCGCGGATACTAGCAGGCAGGGACATGGACAAGTAGATGGTTTTACGCCAACGACATTAGAAAGCATGACCCAAGATAGCAAATGAAATCCATACTTTAACCGAAATAACGCCTATACCTGCAAATGCGTATCGGAGTCTAACTAATGCCAGCAGGGGGGACGTGAGCATAACGGAATATCTGCCTTGGGGATTCAAACCCAGACGGCCGAGATAGCGCCAACGCAGCATTGTTCCCCAACAAGTCGCCAGCGCCAAGATATTCGAAGGTATCGTCGTCAAAATCAAATGTTCGGTTGCTTGGAGATTGGAACTCTTCCCTTCAAGAGAGCACCAGGACCATGGCATTACACACGGCTTATCAGACGTGGATTCCGGGGGAATGGACAGAGTACGGGAAACAGAAAAAGGAATCGGTCTTTAGAAAGGCTTCTGTCAAAGCAGAGGGAATCTTCTAAGACGAAAGAGAACCAGGTTGAATGGCAAAATGACGAGGGAAGGCATTACTTACCTGAATTTGGGTATAATGCCTCAATTATCGCTAGAAATGAGTATTCTCTGCCTAGATTAGTATAAGGTTAGGACGGCTAATTGCGTTGTTTAGCAAAGCTATGTCATTCAGGATTGAAAGGGTTAGAGCGCATATCAGTCCAAGGGGGTGGCTATTCGGAACGGTGCCGTTTCAAATCAGGGGATGCGTCTTCCGAATCATTATATTCTTCATCGACGCGAGGTCGTTTCTCAACCTTCGGACTGTAACTATAAGGCGGAATGTGGTCCTTTTCGGGTTCGATCAAGTCCCATTCTGGAAATTCGTCGCGATCATTGTCAAATGCCATCAACTCGCTTGTCTCTTCGTACGTGGGATTCCTCGCGGGAGATTCTACTTTCGTGAAGGGTTGAACGTTTGTCTGCCCCAAGTTCGCATGTTCGTATGGTTCTACAACGGGACTTTTGAAAAGGTCCGCATCAATATCAAAATCATCGGGATTGGGGTTCGGGGTGACTGGTCGGTCTGGTGATTTTGATACATTTGGGATTTCGCCGTTTCCAGGTATGGGCGTGGAATCACGTTGGTCTTCTAGGTTTCCAGGAATGTCGTTTGGGCCAACTTGGAGGTTAATATTGCTTTCATGTTCTGGAAGCTCTTCCGTGGCGTCGGCACCAATTTGAACGTTTTGGGCTAATTCTGGCTGAGCATTTCCCCGAGCTTCTTCGTTCAGTGGAGTTTCCGCTGAAGGGCTAGCAGCTGTAGTAGATAAACGGTCTGTATCATCATAGAGCGGACTTCTTGCCCGCATAGTACCATCAGTTTGATATTGAATTTCACCATCTTCAACCTCTTCAACTCCTGTTTGATCAGGCTCCAAAGTTTGTACTTCGCCTTGGCCAAGGGTATCTGCAATATCGTTTTGGTGCTCACTGTCAACTTCGATTGAATGACGGTTTTCCTCGTCGTGCCACGAGTCTTCTAGGTGAAGGTTAGTATACATGTGCATGGAGAAAGGAGGATAATGGAGTTGCTATTACCTTGTTCCTCATCGCCATCTCCCTCAGGGATGTTAGTAGCGCGATTTTTTTCTGAATCCGAAAACTTTTCGTTCACCATGTCAAGTTGCTTTTCCTGTAGGATTTCTTCACTTTTAGGCAAGCGAGTGTCTAGGGTTGAACCTCTTTCTTCTTCATTGGGATAGGATTGTCCTGCAACGGAATCTTCAATGTGCTCGGCCGAGACTGAGAAGTTTACTTCCGCCTCCGATGGGCTAGAACCATGGTCATCGGAGTCGCTTTCAACGGTCGCAGGCAGCTCGGTTTCGCCATCAGCATCGACAGCTTCATCGGCATCCTGCCATGCACCTAGTTGAGACAATCCTTGGCCATTGTCAGCGGCTGTTTGCAGGGCCGCTAAATCGGCTTTCAAAGTAGGTCTAGAGCTGAGGTTTAAATATAATGGTCCGGGATCTTCAATGTCATCATTACGGCAAAAATCAAGGTATAGGCGTAAAATCTGAGACAGGGTAACTTCTAAAGACTTAACAGCGATCTATCAAGACTAATTAGCAAGCGCTCCTACGAAAGTTGGGCATTCACGTACTTCACTTAGCTGGATATATAGAGAGTCGATAGAAACCACCAACTCATCTTCATCAGCAATATACGTCCCAAGAACTTTACGAAAAGCCTTGAAGAGCTCATAGAGAGGGGCATGTGCCAACTCCTCATCTTCCAGGAGGTAGATTTCTGACGGGTCACTTTCGTTAGGCGGGAAAAGCGACATCTCATTGTCTTGATATAACACGGTTACTCTGTGGAGCGGTGAGTAGTCCTCAATGTTTTCACCTTGTACTTCCGGTCCCTGATGTCCGACGGAGACTGGTTCTGGGTGCTTCTTTTTCATATTGTCAACCTCGTCGGGTATTCCGTCTGGCTCCACGATGCTTTCATTGCCCTGTTCCGCTATTCTTTCCACTTTAACTTCTTCTTTGATTCGCTCCGTGTCCTCTTGAGTATCCTGGAGCTGTTCAGTGACGCCTTGACCAGAGGTCAGGGTGGGCTCCTTGGGCTCGGCTTCCGGAACCCCTTCTTCTTCACCATTTTTGTAGGGAGAGTGAAAATCTGCTTGTGTATATTCACTCTTTTGATCATAAACCTTTTCATCGGATATTTGAGCCGCGTAGTCAGTTTGCGAGAACTCATTCTTTTCAGAGGCCTGTGTTAAACACCCCTGTGGGTGATTGAGCGTAGCTTGTTCGTCGGTAGATACCGGTTCCGACTTGGCTGCCAAAGATTGTTGCGCTTGGATACCCATGCTTTGGACATCTTCCTCATCTCCATTGGGCGCGGAAAGGTCCTGGGCACTCGTCGTGGCCACCCCATCTTCTTCATAATTCCCAGGAATCGGAGCATCTATATCTTCTTCATAGTCATCCTCTACCTCTTCATCGTAGACGGCTTGGTCAGGCTGAGGAACGGGCGCGTTATATTCGGAATGATCGCTTTGAGGTGGGGTTGTTCGAGAAATATGAGTTGTTGAGTAGTCGTCAACCATATCTGCATCCTTTGAGAGGTCATCAAAGTCTTCCGACATATCCGGATGATTAGATGCCGTGGCAGACGCATCGTCTACAACAATATCGCCATCATCGATCTCAACATGATCTTCATACACGTCAAGATCGATTTCGATATCGTCGTCGCGCGGTAGCTCCTGGAATTCGGCTGTCACATCCATGCTGTCATCGAACATAGCCTGCTCCATCTTGTCTTCTTGTTAATACGGATGGGTCGTCTGCTCTCGTTAAGCACTTCGGAATTCTATCTCGCCATATTGAAAGCCGAAAAAGTGAAAAGTTAGTAGGCTAGTTCAATCGCGATTTGTATCGAGCTGATGGAGAGGTAGCAGCGTAGGCAACCCCGCCTTGGTTCTAGGAATCAAACTGGTGATCAAGCTGATGGAACGGAAGAGCAACGTTGGAGGTGGGAGAGTGTGGAGGAAGGCCAGCACCAAAAAAGTAAAGCGATTATTAAGGAGCTCGCAACGCACGGACCACCAGCAATTGCCAGAGTGATCAAGACAACATTCCACTTCACACATCAGCCAAAGGCTGCCCGCAAAACAACTGACATCGTCGATATCCCCGAACGTGTGTTGTGACTCCAGGCCGTTTGGAGTACTGGGTGCCAAAGATTTCAGACAATGGTGAGTCAATTGAAATGCAAATGGGGCGCCGAAGCCATATGCAGCTGACCCCCTCCCAGGTCATTCTTGCAGCGTCGATATGCACCCGTGGAGGGAAGGCCGTGCTCTCACGGCAATTCCGTGAAATCGCAAGGTCACGGATTGAGGCTCTACTCGCGTCTTTCCCCAAACTCGCGGACTCTGGAACCCAACACACAACTGTTGAGCAGGATAACGTCAGATTCGTGTATCAGCCATTAGACGAACTCTACATCGTTTTGATAACCAATAAACAATCGAATATCCTCCAGGATATTGATAGTCTACATATTTTTGCCCAGGTCGTTACGAATATCTGCAAAAGCCTCGATGAACGCGAAATCCTACGCAATGCCTTCGAGCTCCTGTCTGCCTTCGACGAAGTGGTCACGCTGGGATATCGAGAAAATCTCACATTATCTCAAATAAAAACTTTTCTAGAGATGGAGAGCCATGATGAACGGATTTCCGAAATCATTGAGCGAGTATGTTCCATATTTAGCCCCGTTTGATCGGTCCTAATAGCGGCTTTAGAACAAGGAACTCGAAGCAAGTGCCGAGCGAAAACGGAAGGCAAAGCAGCTTGAGATGCAGCGCAAAGAGGCAGAACGCATGGGAAAAGGAATGGCACCTCGTACCCCATCCTATCCTGTCTACAGCCAACCTGCGCGCCCCACCATCCCCGACACAATTGATAGTTACGAGGCGGAAAAGAAGAAAGCTTTCACAAAGTGAGTCTAAGCTCCCCGCTTACCCAATTTTATTGTCAACCTTTGTACTTATATATTCAGAACTCTACCATCTAGAGGTAAGGGTATGCAGCTAGGCAAAAAATCCAAAACGACAGATATATACGAGAAGGTTCGCGGAGAGCTTGGCCCTGAAGCTGAGGAGTCACCTCTTGTTCCTGCTACACCAGCTGCTGCTGTAGCCGCTCCAGCATCTTCCAGACCGTCTCTATCGGCTGACCGCGAGCCTGTACACGTAACTGTGGCGGAGACCGTATCTGCGAAGTTGTCTCGAGACGGCGCAATGAAATCCTTTGAAATAAAAGGTGATCTACAACTACGAATCTCCGACCCGTCCTTCACGAAATTGAAACTTGATCTCAAAGCCAATCCAACGCATGGTGCTCAGTACCGTACACACCCGAATGTTGACAAAGCCCTCTTTACCAACTCAAAAACTATTCAGCTCAAGGACACCTCAAAGCGATTCCCAGCAAATAATTCCATTGGAGTTTTGCGGTGGCGTGTCGCCAGTATCGACGATGCAGATTTGTTACCCATTACTTTCACTGTTTGGATCAACAAAGGGTCGGATTCTACAACCGTGACAGTCGAATATGAACTTTCGGGCTCTGAGAGTCTCCGAGATGTCACTGTTACGATTCCATTCCAAACGGTCGAACCCAACATCTCTAGTTTCGATGCAGTATATGAGGTTACGGGAGACAGCATCGACTGGAACATTGGAAACGTCGACGAATCCAACAATTCTGGAAGTTTCGAGTTCGAATCAAATAACCCCGACGGAGATGAAAACGAGTTCTTTCCCATGACCGTTCGTTTTAGCAAGCCTACTCCATTTGTTGATGTGGATGTTTTGGGTGTTACTCTGGTGGAGATGGAAGGTGAAGGAGTCAATTTCTCAAAGGATATTAAATGCATCGCAGAGGGTTATATGATTGAGTGAGCAATGGCTTCTGCTTAGACTGTTCTTAGTGCTGGTGTAGGTTGAATAGCATATTTTTTACAATGCTACCCTTATTTGTTAATGAAATTGGGGAGATACCAATATTGGTGCACTTACAGGGCCATTAGGATCTGTGAAAAATTTGTCAAGTGATGTTAGGGAGTAAGCTCATAATAGACCTCATCCTCTGTCAAGTCACTCAGCTGTCACATTTGGGTTCCAGTGCCGCCCAAACAACGACCTGAAGCTGAGGAAATATACTGAAAAAAATCATGAACCTCCGATAAGAAGAAATTCATTCCTCCCACTCTCGATGTCTTGCGGTAAAAAAGGCGCGTGCAGTGCGAGCCTTGGGAATACAGTTGCAAATATGTGAATCCGCAGACGAGTCCATCCTTGTTGTCATCATTGTATTAGGGCCGGCAATTGATTGTACAGAGCTGCCACGAACTGACACGCTTTCCGTGTTGCGGAACGCGTTGTTATCCCATGACCCTCGCAGACGAGATTGGGTATAGTGGAATAGACATATTCCGACGGCTTCACGACTTTTCGTGAATCCTTGTATGCAGTCAAGCACGCTAATGAGACGGCGGCGGATGCCGCATCCTACGTGGTTAGAGTCAATCTGATACTCCGGACATTGACGCAGGGATGCGACAATAGCATTTATATCGGTTGCTAGGCGAGTGGCTACTGGTCTCGCGTGTGTAGATCCGGGTTTATTCGAGTCGTCGAATTCGTTCTCTGTGGTATATCCGGCATCGTAGTCTGGTTCGTGGTTTGATAGAGTTGACTGTAGTTCTAGTGTTTTTGCTCGAGTGCTAAAGAAGTGTATCATCTCGCCTAGATGAAATGAGTCGCAGGCTCGAGAATTCTCATATACACGACGACACTGCAATTCCCGTTTTGTAGAGGGTAGGGAGGTCGTTTTCTGTTTGGAAGTAGTAGTCGAAGCACCAAAAGCGCAGAGAAGATGGGACTGATAGTCGCTGATCGTGTCTAGAATGCACTGGTTTCTGAATTCCAGTTCCTCTGCTCCGCCGTAAGCATGTAAGTACACAAAGCTGGGAGTAATGATTGGCATTATGTAAAACAAATGGGTGCAAAGACTTACGCTCGATAACTCCGGGGAGCTGCCACCATATCGGTATACCGCTCTGCCCTTCGTCAACGATTCGACGCCACATTCTTGAGCCGTCAACCACCAGTCTATGAGTCAAGAAGGCGAAAGCCTTCTGATCATGGATAGAATATGCGAGAAAAACTACTTCCCGAAGCCGCTCCTCTTCATGGCTTCGAAATGTCCTTAAACGATCTCGAAGCCTTCGCCTTTCGGGCATAACACATGGCCCATCGTCCGTATTTTCGATACTCATCGCTCGTTTAAACAAATGCAGGGCACCATATCGGTCCAGCAACGCTACCAAACTCGCTAAAAAGAATATAGGTCTTTTCGCAATATCTTCATAAAGAGCCTGTCCTGACGCAGGATCATCATCTTCTGCAGTAGCTAAAAGCGCAAAAAAGTCACATAGAAGAGCGTGTCTAGTCACCTTGGGCGACAGAGGTGGTAATTCCAATGTGAATTCAGGTAGTTCGTCAATTTTCGCCTGATACAGTGCCGATTCCACGGAGCCATATCGGGCTTCCAATCTCTTCTTTGATTCCAGAAATGTTCTCCCTTCCTGAAATTTTGTAGGGTCTAACAAGACCTGAAAGTAATCGCAGGATTTTCTCAGAATAGCGCTGCTTGTCCGAAAGCGGGATATGACACGTTTTCCTGAAGGACTGCGGGCGGCGCTGACACAATTGAGTACCAAATCACCTTGCGCAATAACCGTGCAGGGGATATCGGCTACTCCAGAACTGAGTGTCGTCGCCTGTGAGTTCGAACCTGATACCCGGCCATCCATTGCACGCAGGAGCACGATATTTGAAAAGTGATCCCTCGGGTTAGTGGATCAATTTCCACTTTGATAACCAGCTAATTATGTATATGCACGAGGGAAGGCATCTTGAGGGGAACTTGAACCGTGAGTAACTATGCTTCTGGCAATGAAAAATGAATCTTTAATGCAATGGAGCAGTCCATCTTAAACCAGTGGGGTGTCCATTTAAAAGACCCAGGTTGATATTCCGAATTAGGCTTAGCATGTTGTCCATCTAACTCGCTAACTAGTTTAACTGACCGGCGGTTGACAGTTCAGCAAAAACAATTGATTCATAGTATCCAAATGAGAACAGGGTGACTACTGAGATTACATTGGATGGGCACTTCTCATGGTCTAAAATTCTGTAGGCGACGATAAAATAAATCTTTTGCTATATGGGTTGCGCCCGAAAGGAAGGAATAAGCTGCACTTTGCCTAATCTCTGCACCGGTAAATGTCAACTTCCGATACATCCTTTCAATCAAAATGGATTCTCCACAACTCTCTGTCGGCGCCTCCTTGAAAGTCACTACGGGTGTGCATAGTCAACACATTGTCGCTGACCAGCACGTCACCCCTCTGCCACGAGTGGTAGTACACAATGCGCCGGTCATGAAGTAGACTATCTAGTTGACTGCAAACGGCATCCGACACCTCGGGAGTCAACCCATCAATAGAGATCAGAGTGGCTTCAAAACTCGTTTTGCCCTCTGGCCACGGTTCGTGGTATCGTAGGCAAGGTTTGCCAGTCGTAGGGTGATTGATGACGAGAGGTAGGCCGTGTAACTTGGTACTGTCAAAAGAGGACGTTGAGACTGACCAAGTTAGCTTTCTCAGAGTTTCGAGGGGAAGATAGTCGGGTAGATGTTTAAAGACAAAGGTTGATGTTGAAAAGAGAGTGAATCCAGTATCGGAGGGCGATGGCGTAACAGCCGTGAAGAGCTGAAATCTGCAATATTTTAGTATAGTACACCAATTTGTAGCGGAGGACACTCACCGGGGCGGGTTGGACACCTTGTGGATTGTGCCATCCTCTTTTATTTCATCTTTCGTCTTGAAAAGGCCATCAAAATGGAATGGCATCCATTCAGCTGATAAAACGTTGTTAAGGCCCCGAGTGTCGGCTCCGCGATCTTTCACCTCAAGCAATATTCCGAATTTCCAAGGCATTGGAGTGCCAAAAGTTGCAGCTTTCTCAATAAATCTTTCACGGTCACCGGTACCTGCAAAACCACGTAATATCACCGGAGAATTCAGCTCAGAGAGGGCCCGGACTTTCCGAGAGTCAATTTCCTTCATGGTGAGTTTTCCGGGTCCGTCGCTAGGCGTGATCATGACACCACAAGGGTACAGAGGAGCGACATTGATGGGGCCTGACCTCCAAGTGTAAAGGTCACTCGTCTCTCTGAAGTATGAAGGCCTGCCGTCCTCGTAGACCAACTCCCAGGCAGGATCATCTCGGAAGGTTTGAGCAAGGCCGCTAGTTACAGTGCCATCGAGCCTGATTGCAAGAGTGCAATGCCACGGTGTTGTATAGCCGGTATCCGTAGGCAGAATGCTGATCGAAACCTTGTTTTGCCCGGTAGACGTATGAATAGATAGACGCACATGGTTAGCGAACTTCTCACGGATTGCGCGGGAAAATGCTTGCCCACGAATAAGCATCTGTTTGGCGATACTTTCAGTGCCCTTCTCAAATCTAGATTTAGAGAAGCCGTTTGAGACGGGATATGATTCAGTAAGATCGGCAGGAAGGAATTCGAGATATCCGCGATATGTCATGTTCACATCCTCATCTTCAACTAGCTTGTTGCTACCATCCCAGTCTTTACGACTGAAATTGTTCATGAGTGCAACACGGAAGTTGGTTGCATTGGCGACATATGAGACCTCGTCTAAGTCTTCGGGAATAGCCAAAGGAACTAGGCTAGTAAGCCGAGTGAACTTGATATAACTGAACCCCTTGGCTTTCGCAAGTTCTCGGAGACTTTCTCCATATAACCAGACATCACAATCTGGAACACTGAGCAAATCTAATTGATGCAGAAAGCAGTGAGCGATTGCGACGTTGCAAAATCTCTCTATCAACTTACCATTATACACAATGCCATCCGAAATAATGGTAAGCTCCGCCCCAGGCTTGTAAACGTCGTGAATAGCAGCACAAAGACCGTTCAAATGGGCCAGGGCAAATTCCTCTGCCTTATCTGGAAGACGACCCAGAACCTTGGTGTTGCGGTTGGGAGATTTGAAGGGAAAGGCAGGCAGTGCCATCTGGACGGGTTTGTTGGCTTTGACATGGCTGTAGACCTGTGTCAGGCCGGTAAGAAGGCCGATGTCCGACTGCATGCCTTCTATGCCGCTGCCTGCTCTCTGGTATCGGTAGATAACCTCAATGATCTTTGCAGCCATATCGATGGAAGAGTGATCAACGACACGGCTAGAAAGAGGGAGAACAACATGGCCTGGAGTGCCATGAAGGGCAGACTCCACAAGCACCGGATCCATCATCATGGAGAACTTGAAACTGTGGGTGTTCCTTCGTGTGTAGAGAGAAGCAGAAGCTCATCAGGGGTTTGTCCACCCTCGAGCAAGAATCGGAGGTTGGTATACAGGAAGAAAGCGCACAATGGCATTCAGGAGAAAGAATGTCTTCAAATAAGGACACGGAGTCAGACAGACAGGAGACATGTGCCTCCCATCAACGAAAAAACGACGCCTCGCAGCCGCGGAGGGCCATCACTTGCTAGATTCAGCCCATTGTCGGAATCTAACTCGGTCTCAATCCAAAGATCCGAAGCGCGGGGGTCTCTCGATGGATCTCCTCGTTGAAATCCGGTTTCGATCTTCCGAAAAAGAAAATACGTGGAAGATTCTTGAGCGCCCGCCGGACCCCCACCGCGCACACCTCGATCCCATGGCACGGACTGAAGAGCCGTCGCCCACCAAGCGAGCTGGCGATGTGTGTCGTTCACCTTCCAGGACGCGCAGAAGATCTGCAGCCGTGCGCCATGTCACGTGCATGCTGACTCATATGTCGCGCATCGCCGATTCGCCGGGCTCAGGGATGGGCTTCAAGGGCACACCTCCTCTGTCCTGCTCCAGTTCGCCTGCCCATGGCATTTCCATCAGATGCCCGCGCTTCTATACGGAGGGTGGCGATCAGGGTACAATGTCTGCTGTGTCCTCTGTGCCACTCTCTCGCCGATAAACTTGAGACTCAGCCGCAGGGTTGGCAAACTGATTGAAACTGATGGCGATCGGCGCCTGTGCGATCTGACAGGTTATTCCTATCAGCCTTTTTGCACGACCTGCGACTCTCGTCGCTGAGGACAATACCGCCGTACCTCGAACAAAGAGATATTCTGCCACGATTACACGTCCCCGGCGCGTCACCTCCGATACGGTTGCATCCACCATGTCGTCAGGCCCGAAAGTCATTCATTAATATCTTGCGCTCTATTATGTGGCCATCAGATTAAAGTCGAGCCCTGTGCACGATCTGCGTCCCGATACGATGCTGTTTCCCATCTAGGATGCACAAGTTGGCCGCTCGGTCTTATATTCAACAAGGGAGCACAAAATTTACGGGATGGTATGTACATACATAGGACCGTACTGGAGGAACACGCTCGTATATGCTCAACGGTCTTCGCCTTTTGTGATTCGGGGGATGGGTTTTTTTCCTTTACACCCTTGGCTGTGAGCTCTCGAGAGTGTCGCAGTCCGCAAGTTTATGGGATGAGGCTGCAGACAATGGTGGGATCAACGTCAGCAGAACGAACATACCTGTTTGGTTGGGATGCGCAACCGATACGATTCCGTTGATCCTTGAGATTGGAATTTTTCTTGCTGATACCATGTCGACGGTCGCCGCCACAGCTGCCCTCATTTGCCTCTTTGTGAGCTAAGTGTTTAAGGAGTTTAGCCAGAGACTCGCTGTCCCAAGACCATCGCCCATATGTCTCCGGGCTCTATATGCCATCGTGGCCCAGAATTTCAATCGCTGACTCTATCAATTTGCCTGTAGGTGATTATGGCACGATGGGGTTCTAGAATATCTGCCCGTGGTGACAACGATTGGGTTAAGTTCCGGCTGTTTCAGCAAATCAAACGTGAAACACCATGTCGCATGCCCGGAACTGTTTTATGCCGGGTTGTTTTGCTGCGAACGAAAGTTTTTCATAAGCGGAAAATTGCGGTCTGCCCGCCGCTTCCGAAGGCGTCCGTCCTAGCCTATTTCTTGGGCTGCTAACGGACGGTGTTATGTGCCATACACATTGTGACTTATCCCACAGCGTACGTTGGTCGTAGCGTGACGCGAAAGAGGTTGCATGATATTCCAATCCTGGGCCTATTATTAGAGTAACCGAGGAATTAGATACTCCTCCAGCAGCGAGTGGCTGATAGGACCCGTCCAATTAGGTACATCCTATGCTGAAGCTTCGAGGAGCTGCCGTTGTACACAAGCCGTTTCGAAGGCCGAAATTGAGTGGTATTACCCCTAACAGGTGCCCTGGATTGTTGGCCAATAAGTACAAAATTCTAACTAACATACAGAGTACTCCGTAGCTCATCAGTCTTTCTCATCTGGCTATTGTGCGCTAACTTTTTTCCGCAACAGCTTTTAATTGTCCACCTGGCAAGGGAATGTACCAAAGCATCTACTCGAACCTTCTAGGGGATTAGCTAGCGCTGAAGGGCCCGATCTCTTAGCAAGTAATGATCTAACAGACAAAAATGCCCGCTAGATACTCTACCGCGCTTTGAAAACTTCCCACATATGCTATATACATATCGGGCCGCACTACGACGACATAATTATCTCCTTCTTTGACAACATCGGTCAAATAACTTGACGCACTTTCCCCGTTGAGATGGTATTTCAACCCCTCTACCTTCGGTAGAATTCTAAGCCATCGAACGAGCTCCTTGGAGTTGTCGAGATGTCCACCGCAATCGCCAGCCACAAGGGCTAGGTACTTCCCATACGTTACCATCTTATACAGATACTGGATTTCTGAAGTGCCAGGGACTATCAATGGGATGTCGGGGCATGCTCGACCTGCCTTCCATATACCCACCTCGGATTCGCGGATGGCAGGAGAGCCGAGATCATTATACGCCACGCCCATTCCTAAGTAACCGGGGTTAACAAAAACTCACCCGAGTTATCATTAGCGATGAAAAGAATCATGCTTACCGGTGATGTAGCTTGCATTCTTTTCCACGTTGCCAACGTACTGTGTGGCCTCAAACTTGGTATCTCTCACCAAACGAGCGGCCACACGGATGACACTCTCGGCCACTTGACGACGTTCAATGTCGTAACTCTGAAGAATCTGATTGGCGGCACCGGGTGCTAATTTGTCACCGTATTTCAGAATATATGCCATTCTCCATCCCAAACCGAACGCATCGGAGAGCCCGGTATTCAATCCCTGACCACCATTGACAGAGTGGCAATGGGCAGCATCGCCCGCGAGGATAATCCTCCCATTGCCGTCTTGAGAGATAAAGGTTTGAGCAATTCTCTCCTTGACTACAATATAATTGTTGTCAAAAAATTGCATTAAATCGTGTCTGCTGGTAAAGAAAGGAATACTCACCTTCAAATGTGCTGAACCATTCGGTTTTCGTGAAATCAACTCGGTAAGGAGCCAGGTGTCTTTTGACACATGCCTTGGCCTTCTCCTCAGTGATTTCGCCGTCTAGCAAACTATAGAAGCGGGCCATCTCGCGCTCTCGCGGAATCCATGCCACACGAGACTCCCCGTCAAGTTCGAATGTGATGATCTCGGGGCAGCGAGGAAAGTCACTGTCGATGAAGGTGTCCAAGACAGCCCACGTCATCTCAGGCTTGGTGCCTGAGAAAGGAATGCCAAGTGCCTGACGCACCATGGATCTGGCGCCATCAGAGGCGATGCAATACGTGCTGTGCACGATGCGTCCTGAGACTGTGGTGACCTCAACGCCAGACTTTGTCTCGCGGACAGATTCAACACGCGCATTAAAGCATATGGATTCCTTGAGCTCCGCTGCGAGAACTTGCTCTACCACAGGCTGGCCAAGCATAAGGAAGTTCTTGTGCAGCACATACTCTAGGCCTGTCCACCAATGGCTCTGACGCGAGGTAAAGTTACCATTAGCGAAAATGGAGCTGGCTGTTGGAGTGGTCAGTGAAGAGCAGACAAGGATAGGGCGCTGGTCAAAGCTTACTGTTGCATTTGATGCCCTGGCTAATCAAATCGTCCAGGATGCCCACAACCTCAAAGTACTGCTGAGATCTTGCATTCAAGGCATCGGCTCTTCCAAGCTGCAGCGCTTGGGGTTTCGCATCTTGGATGGACCCCACGTTAACTGACTATCTGCGGGGAGATTGGGCCGGGATTTTGGGACTCACCTAGCACCAGAACCGAGACACCAAGTCTCTTCGCAAGAAGGGCAGTCAACATGCCAGTAGGACCACCTGAGCCTCCGTTAGCCAACGATGACATACTAGAAGGCTTGCAGATGCTTCACCGCCGACGACGGCCAGATCAACCTGTGTCTCATACATGATGTATACCGGCCGGCGAATTCCTTTCTTTGAGGAAGGGAACAGAGTATGTGAGAGAAGTTGGGGCAAAGTCTTTCAGAATTAGATTGCAGAATAGTACGCTCTACCATGTGCTGCGCAATTCGCTTTATACGGCGCAATTAGAATACGACCAGGGCTGGTTGATACTTGTGACAGTATCGCCAAGGCGACTTTGATAGGCACCTTTAACCCCACTATTCTACTTCATCCAGATTCGTTGTGGGAACTATATCTCTTAAGTCAAGATGTGGTTGCATACTTATCGTGTCGGTGAAGTGATACATGCAAGCAGCTTCTACTCTACTTCAGTGGGTATGCATGTAATGATGGTATGGAGGCTATTCTGCAAATGCTACGGTTGGAAAACGTTCCCCACGACAAGATCTCTCGGCAAAACCGGTCATACCAAACGGAATGACCTGATATTAATCACGTATCTAAGAGGACGAAACGTGGGGAGACTAACGGACCCTCCGATCAAGAGGCGGCATCCTTCCCTTTCCTATTTTTGGGCGTAGCATTCATGGATTTTCATCCGAACTGGGTTTTCGAGGGTACTGGCGATCTGTACAACCGTCTAGATCGAGATGCACAATCGCATCTTAAGTCACCGATTCCCTAGGCTACCCGCTTAGCCTGAGCTTGATTGACTAGTTACTGCAGGGGTCCTTCGGCAGGGTTCGTTTCGTATCCCGTTCGAAGACCCAAGCGAGTCCACCATGGGCTAGATGCGTATGTAGACGGTTGCTTTGAAATGATTCACTCATTACGCAATGTCGGGATATCGTTTTCGAATGCCTACGGAGAAGCGAAGCCCTTCGGTTCTACGAGCCTTGGACACTGCGACTAATATCTGCGCTTCGGCTGCGAGGTAGCTTCGAATCTCTCTCCTGATTACATCTCTCGAGAGAAACCAGAAAGTATTGCATCATCATCATCGCATTCACCACCTGAATCGACTCAGTGACCATGGAGCCTTCGACAAAATCGATTGAAGTCCCCGAACTGTTCAGCATCAAAGGCCTCGTTGCCGTAATATCTGGAGGAGGCTCTGGTAAGCAGTCCAGATTTATCCCGGATGGTACTCTAAGTATGATACACAGCTAACAGAACTACGGACGCTCATGCAGGTATTGGGCGGATGATTACTCGTGCCCTCGCTGTGAACGGTGCGGAGAAAGTCTACATTCTTGGTCGACGTGGTGCCGTTTTGCAAGAAACAGCGAAGCCCTTTCCTGGCGTGGTAATCCCTATCGAGTGCGATGTTACTTCCAAGGAGTCATTGCAAGCGGCTGCTGATAAGGTTACCAAAGAGGTTGGATATATCAACCTCCTCTGGTGCAACTCGGGGACATCAGGTCCCGAGAGCCCCGAGCTGAGCAGCTCAGTGTCTCTGGACCAATTTATCGAGGCAAACTGGAAACACTCTGTTGAAGATTATGCGGAGACATTTAGGGTCAACACTGCGGGGTTCTGGTATACAGCCATTGCATTTCTGAAGCTCCTCCATCTCGGCAACGAAACGGGCAACAAGGCGCACAGAAGCCAAATCATCGGGACCTGCAGTACCTTGGGCTTTGGAAGATTCGCGGCTACCGGTCGCTTTGCATACGGCCAAAGTAAAGCCTCCCAGACCCATATGATGAAACAATTGTCGACGCACCTAGTGCCGTATGGGATCCGGGTGAATATGGTCGCTCCAGGATGTGAGTTTCGGGTTCCTGTACCCCTCAATCGAAACTAACGAAAAGATAGTATTCCCTACCGACATGACGGCGTCTATGACCTCAACCGGCTATGATGCATCGAAGCTAATTCCAGAGGGCAGAGCTGGCTCAGATGTGGATATGGCGGGTGTTGTCCTCTTCCTGACGAGCAAGGCCGGTGCTTATCTGAATGGCAATGTACTTGTTTGCGATGGCGGACGCTTGTCAATTGTTCCTTCGACATATTAACTAGACTGTCTATCTACTTTTCCTCAGTGCCGTGCTCTTCCTGTAGTTAGTTGCGATTGAATTGGCCGCCGCATGTACGCCGTAATGGGCAATACGAAAATGACACTACCGGGCGGGTCTATCCGGGAACTCGGGAAACGCGATGTGGGGGTGTCTATTCAGTCGCTAACTAGCTTAGTGCAACCTTATCTCAACCACACTTCTTGACCAAACGGCCACGCAGCATCTGCGGATCTTTTCTGCTTTCTTCCTTTCTCCTCATCCATCTCTGAACAACCTCGGAAATTGACGGCAATCCCAGCTGGAAAGCATCGTATCCGTGTGAGATGCAGCCTCAATTCTAGCGGCTGACATGATGGAACAAGAACACAGATCACCAGCACAACCCGGATTCCCAGTGCTCGTCGTGTCCCGTCAGTGGGCATTCAGAAAATGAACCCGCAGATGCGTTATGGCAACGCCGCTCTTGATTAAGAGGACAGGGGCTAACAGAGAATCTGTTTATTCAACGCGTCTTACCGCATCTCTTCTTTATTCCGTATTGAAAGTCACAAAAACGATACTGTTTTGTTTGCGGACAATCACCGGAATCCATGAGAGACATACTATGATCTGTCCCTCAGGAAGCCTTGAGTGTCTTTTACGAAGGCATCTTGAGGAGATCGCGAACAAAAGTGCATCTCCTTTACGACCTCAAAGGATACGCCTTGGTCACTTTCGAGGACTGGCAGGTCCAATCCTTCCTGCCACTTAGCAGCTTGCAGAGAGCGTGTCGGCCCTCAAAGTACTTGAGGCAACATAGGTCGACGCTATCCTGCACAGGCTCTATGGAATCACCGCCCAGAAGGCTGTCATCAACACGTATGCACTCGTTGTTTTCCTCCCTTCCCTGCCTTTTCCGTATTAGTGATATGAGGAGTCCGTGAAGCTGTTTTATTGACACTTATTCCTAACACAGTAGCCATACAACCTGATCTCTCTGGCCTCTTGACCTTGAGTGAAGCAGCCAACTTTCAGGGACACCTGTAGTGACCATGCCGGCAAAGCGATCTGCCTCAGTCTATTTAAGGATTACAATCCATACAAGTGCCTCGAAGGACCTTGAACGATGCTGCAGGCCCAATATCTACAAGACGATTGATGGGCGGTTCTTCCGCCTTCACGGCCCACTAAATCCAGATACTGTTTTGCGAATGCCGAAATTTGCTCTTGTACCGCCTAGGGGTCGAGATACCTTCGGTATGGCTCTGCCCATGATCAGGACAGCGCTTGCTGAATATGATAGTGGGAGCACAGACAAATTATCCAACGGTGCAACAATTGGCTCGATTGAAAACTTTGAAATAATTGATATATCCACTATATCAATGATTGTTAAGAATATTTCTGCAGGGAGCGATTCGACAGTCCTTTCCATATTGTCTCTGATATATATATATCGCCAAAAGCCCCCAATGAAAGAGCAAGTTAGTGAATGAAATCGACGCTACAGCGGAAGCAGGGGAAGTATGGTGATATATTCTTACTACAGACCACGAATAACATGCCTTATCTTCAGGCATGTTTGTGGGAGGCTCTTTGGTGTCATCCAGCTGTGGAGATGACGCTTTCTTTAAAATAGGTGGGCGAAATCTCCCAGGCGGAGTGGAAGTCCCTCTCCATATACCCGGAACGATTAACGACGCCTTGACAGAAAACGTAGACCATGGTCGGCGCAAATAGGCGAGCCCAACCGTGTTGGCTAGGCGAGTCCCCGCAGCGCCGGTTTTACCCTTTGGTGGAGGAGCACGATTTTGCATCGGAAAAAAAAAGGTCGTCCTAAAATTGCCGTGATGCATATCAAATAACTGACAGGATGCTAGACATTGGCTGGCTAAAGATGTCAAAAGTGCCGTATTAAATTCTGGTGCCTGATGGTGCTCAGGGACGAGTTGAGTATAAGGTTTAGGTTCACCCGTTTTCCCCACAACTTTGACGTTGAGTTCGCCAATCCAAACGTCAGATTAAAAGAACTTGCTTGGTATGGGGACTCAGGTTCGATTAAATAGACAATATACACATGCCCTATGTCATTTGTGAAAGTGGAGGATCTTTTACTGCCATTGAGGTCAAGGAATGATATCGAATGCCAATAAGAAGCCTTCATGAATTGATGCTCAATTCGTAGCAACGTCGAGAACGGAGCGTTATACGCCTACTGGCGGGTATAGAAAGAATAGTTATACTCTAGATCTATATGAACCGGGCTAATAGTAAAATACAATTCGGTAAAGATTGGACATAAAAGCCAACCTTTGAAGTATTCATGCTTTTATCATCAACCTGAGTCCCTTGTAATACTTTCTGCTCGTGATCAAAGTTATGCCTGAAGCGGCAACAAAAGCACCAGCAAAGATCCAGAGACGGGGAAAGCCATACTTGTGCAGAACCACTCCGCCGACAGGCGTGCCTACATCTCGGTCAGTATGCTTCTGATGAGACCACTCGACTATTTTGTTTCAAGCAGAAACACATACCAATCAACAACCCGAACGCGATCACGCCAAAAGCCTGGCCCAATCTGGTTCCAATTTTGCCTCTGTTGTGAGCTGAGAGCTGGACAACGACAGCAGTCGGCGAAGAGATGAATGTGCCCGAGAAAAAGCCATAGAATCCCATCAAGGTGATCAAACCGGCAGCATCATGGACGGGGATGACGCAGAAACAAAGAAGAGCGGATATGAAAGCACAAGGGATCATAGCATTCATAGGCCCAACTGCATAATATTAGGAGATGATGCTACGATATTGAAAGGTTGAAACAATAACATCACTCACTTTTATCAGACAATATCCCAGGAACTATTCGGCCAAATGCACTAGTGCAGTTCATGATCGCGAGGATATAGAAGCCGAGATTCGAATCTGTGATCCCTTGTTTGATAGCAAAGGTCTGAACGTAGAAGAACGGCTGGTAAAGTCCCATGAACCCGATGAAAACACTAAGAACGAAGAAAAGGTACGGCGGCTCTTTGAAAGCTGCAAAATCCAAAATATCGCGTTTCTTTTCCGGCAGCACTCTTACTCTCATAATGGCAATGGAAATACATTGAGTGCCTAGCATCAGAAAACCAATGACGCGAGTAGCCCAAGAGAAGCCAATCGTGGGTTGAAGCTTGTGGAAGACAATTGGGTAGATAACCCCACCTGTGAATTCATTATTAGCCAGTTCATTCATGCCCATACAAATCATAGTTACTTACCAAAGCTACTACCGGCAGCTGTAATTCCCACTGCCGTCGCTAGCTTTGTGGTGAAATACTGTGATAGGATGGCGGTGCTGGGAACACATAGAAATCCACATCCGATGCCAATACAGAATCCTTGAGAAAGCAGTACTTGCCAGTACTCTTTGCAGAGACTCAACATCATTTGGCCTAGTATGAGTAAAAAGGAGCCGCCGAGGATTAGTTCGCGAGAGAATCCGGCATCATACACTGGGCCAGTAAGCGCGCCAACAAATAACAGTAGGAACGCCTGGGTAGAGCCTATCCATGCTATAGCAGAAGGTGTTGAGTTTGGAAGAAGTTCTATTTCGTAGTAGGTTTCGTAAGTGCCGAAAGTGTTGATGATGCCCCTAGCAACTGGTTAATTTGAGCGCGTGGTGAGGTAAATGTATAGCATAGACTTGGGAACGCTCAATCTACCTAGCTTCACCAGGTCAAGATCAACACTCACCAGGAGTTGAAGAATAAAACGTGTGCACCGAGAACCTGCAACCAAGCCCACATGCCTCCGTCAGGCACGGATGCCACATTGTTTACCGACGCTTTTAGTGTAGCGGGTTGAAGCTCGCTATTCGCCTCGTCCTTGACCAGTGCTGTAACAGGTTCCGTAGACCCAGCTCCTTTCTCATCTGTAGGATCGATGTGGTTCATGGTGCTGGTGGAGGAATCTGCGAAACCTCCATTTGACGCCCTGGCTTGGCCGTCTTGAGCGGAGTTTATGGTCATGTCGTTGCACACTGATGGGATGGGAAACAGCTATGTGAGCTAAGGCCGAGCAGGTTGTTGAGGCCAAAACTAAGTTAGCTCCAATCCGAATTGAACTCGGTCCGTAGAGCTTAGTTACTGCTAAAGTTGTATGGAGGCCAGGTTGGGAAGTGGTCGCTGCTGATGGACGTCGACGCGCCACGATCGCATGAAGCCTAAGCAGCGAATGACGCAAAGATACTCGTAGGGCTGGTTGGGTTAGTGAAAAAGCTCAAACGGCACACGGACGGAATGGCGCTCAATCAAACGCGCAAGTTTATGAGAGCGAAGCGACGACAAAGGACGGTTCGCGAAAAGAACCAAGCCAAGCAGAAAAGCGAGAAAAGGTCACTCCCACTCGACACAAGCAGCCGAAAGCGCGAAAATCGCTCAAGGGTAACGATCGTGAATCCGCATGGCGACTGCAAATCGAAGCTGGACGATCCGGAATTTTGGCCCAATGACTTTCGAAAGACATCGGGGAACCGTGAAACACGAGAGGGCGATGATGCTCGCCAACCGTATCGATGCAGCCTGGATAACAAGCCACCACTAATGCATCCCTATTTCTCAAGGGTCCAAACGCCGTTGCCGGAGCAGTGTTTGCGAGCATTCTCGGCCTGCTGAACAGGGTCCACGGCTCACGGGATCCCCAATACGCAGAGCAGTGTAACGCAAGATGAGGCTTCTCGGTTCAGGCTCAGGCCTTCGGGTAAATACTCAGCACACATGCTTCGATTCAGCAGCTCTACATGGAGAGTGCTGAACAATATCTGTCGTCACGATGATAATATCGTTTTGAGGAGCCTTCTGGCCCGAGATCCACGAAGAGTACTCCGTATTATTATGTGTGTGTAATCTGCATGGGTAGCACCACACTGGCTTGCTTTAAACAGCCGAATGACAGAAGCTGGATAGGGGGGATCATCGTGTAAGAGAGAGAATCTCATCCGCCAACAGACAAAGTGAGAGATGAGGTTCGAACAATGGAGCCAAGTGCCAAAAGAGGCAATGCTTACTAATGTTTGATCCTGCAACTAATAGTTAGTTAGTTAATATGTCCATTTTACTTTGCTATTCTTTTCTATCCACCTTGGTGAATTCTCCCGTCAAGTCTTGTTTTATCATAGTGTTGGTTTTCGTAGCTTCAACGACTTTGCTCCGTCTCGGTTGCAACGATAGTTAATGGCTGTAGTTACTTATCAAATTTGAAACATTGATTCAAGCATTTCTCAACGCAAACATGCTTTATCATGGGGATTTATTGTCTGAGGAAACCTTTCGATAGTTACCATTGGCCACTGTACCGGAAGTAAGGTTCAAGTGCTGGTTGAGCACTGAGGTACCTGCATATCTGCTGCTTTTCTGTGACAAGCTCGTCGTTCGGCACCTTGACATACTCCTCAAAACAGGTCCTCCACCATATTGAGCTTCCCGATGACTTTGCGGACCCCGACTTCCTGTCAGTTGGGGTCAGGTTCGGTGCCATGGGGTAATCACGTCCCAAAGAATTTCCGCTTGCTCCAGCCGGCCATGATGTCCTTCTCACGTTTGACACTAACGTCGCCGGGTTTCATCGATAAAGTGCTATGATAGAATGTTCGTGAAGTGGATGGTGTCATATATCGCGGGACGGTTATGACACCCCCAGCAATCACGACCACTAGCCACAGCACCGCGTCGGAGTAACGATCTGGGCAGTTTTCAATCTCAATATACTGGCTTGTCCCTTCGAATTGAAGTCTGACCGAACACCAGGTCATCCTCGATATCCCAGTAGAATGCAGTGCTTGAAGCTCCTCCTGGCCCAGCCCAGGCACACCCTTCTGCAACAGCCAAAATGAAAGTTCTCAATCCCTCAACATCGGCCTCTCTGCTCGCTGAAAGGGAGGGTTTTTGCCTTGGTCTTCTAGGCAACACGGGCTCCAAACCTGGCCACTCCAAACGTCGACGTCGAGTTACATTAGTAACTGGAACGCAACATCAGCATGATCACAGAGAGTCAGCCGTTTTAACCGTGTGAGTGCAGCCTTGTCCTCTGGACACAAAGGATGTGAGGGTAGATGCTGGTATTTGTAACCCGGGTTGCATTGCTTGAGCCGTATGTGGGTCGTGCTCACTAAACGTGGTTGGGGTTGACGGTGTCTGCCGAACTCCTAGCAATCGGACTCGGGCAAGAACTGCACAAACGTTTGAGAACCGAAAGAACCTAACTCACTTGCTGACAGAACTTGATGCTGCGTAGTGATATTCTGATGGCCCACATGCAGCAGCAATATAGCAGTCACTCTGATTATCTGCTCGGATAGCATTCATGAGCACGCCCGAATAGCAGTGTGGACCGACAGCATTGACTTGTGCTCTAAAACAGCCGCAATAATCCGGTGAATTCTTCTGTCGTTAAATAACCTCTACCCAAGTGAGCGGCTCCATCCCCTCGGCCATGTGCTTGGAAAATCATGTTTGACAACATCGTTAGGGTTTGTTTGTAAAGCTTTTTCGTGTATCCAGTTTACAACCCTTGAGATCAATTCACCAGGCGATACTGCTGGAGCCAGATCCCTTGGCGCAATGAGGACTTGGGCTTAAGTGTACAAAGGCCACCTATTCCGTTCGAACTTTCCCCATTTAATATCGGTGATCGGAGGGTTGATCTGAGAAGCTCAAAATGTTCCTCCAGTTGGAAGCAAGAAAAAACGGAGCCCTGAACATCACTGTGGAGATATTGTAGGGTCATCGCTATCCCAATAAAATCGGAGAATACGAAGGCATCTGCGGGGTGATCTGGTTTATGCGCTCCACAAACGGCAAGGTTATGCACAGTGCCAGTTCGTGTATTTGTAGGGCCCGACGGCTCTGGTGTTGACACCGGTATTCGGGCGAGGCTTGGACCGCCTAACGGGATGCTGGTGTTGTATCATGGTTGCGATATGGAAAACGACCACGGATTCGTCCGAAGTCGCAAGCCGGACCCGAGAACGGCATAATGATGGAATATTTGATTGAAAAATGATTCGACTTGGCGGAACCGGGTTGTAGGGCGATATATAACAGTCTCTTGATAGAGAGAAAAGGCCCGAGTAATTGCTGTCGTTTTTATATGATCACGACGATGTACAGATCGCAGCCTAGCTAGCAATGTCAGAATCACATCGAAGGACTTAATAGAATGTTCTTCCGAGACAGCCGGATAACCGGAAAGCGTTCTACGGTTTGGCACCTAGAAGTAGATCTGTTTCTCAAAAAGGGGAAGTATGTTTACCAGCGGACTGACTCCCTGAGGGAGCCGAAGGGAATTTGGATATCACCTTTTAGTGCTCTTAGAGCGCTGCCCGATCGCTGGGTGCTAGGAGGCGGAGAAAGTCAAGACAATATGTCTTGTTGAAAACAATGGTTCAGCGCCCTGAGGCCGCTAAAAACGGATGGCCTCGAAGCAACAGGAGACAAGAGTCAACAAGGGACAAAAGTTCGATAAAACCTCTCTGTCGTGGTTTCCGGCCCCGGTATAAGTTATAACAAAACAATCGGGCCGTGCATTTGCGGAATGGATACCTGAGTTGGCATTTGGGACGGACGGCCCATGGCGACGACCGCCTAAATAGTCTCGTTTTAAAAACGATGAGAAACTTTGACCTCATTATCAAGTATCCGAATGAATGCGTTTCCAGCCCCGTGAGTCGGTGATGATGGCGGACTTCATTTCGTAATTCAACAACCTCAGCAGTTAGGCTTCAATTTTCGTTAGTTAAGGGTCTCCGATCCCATGGCATTGCCGATCTGTTTGCTTAAGTTCTTGCAGTGCAGAATACTCCGAATTTATCACTGCTGTCGACTTATTTTGACCTGTTTCAACTGAGATTTCTTGTGGACAATTGCCTCGAGCGGACAATATCTCTTGTTAGTGCTGTTATAGCTTTAAACGCAGTCATAATAGTGAACTAAAGTAATATGTGAGTCAGTCTCAGCGTGCCATGAATTGAGGACGAACTTGGATGATTGATTTCAGCCACGCACCTTCATTTAGAGATGGCATTTTCGGGGTTCCCTAGGACTTTTTGCGTAATGGGGGCTTTTTAATATGTAGCATTTCAACCGAGTAGGCGGATGAGGGCAGTACAGTATAATAATGAGTGTGGGAAGCCTAGGGTGGATGAAGTAATTAACCAGGGAGTGGGATTGAAGACGTTTGTACAACTGAAGCTTGAAAGAGCCAACCCTAGTCTCCCCCCTTCTACGGACCTACTCCGTACTTTCCGTCACTTTCCTGCCACCGTGAGAAAATATATATATATCCAAATATGCTTCTTGTCCTTCTTCTACCATTTCAATGGGAAATAGACCATCCCGGCGCGGGAGCAGATTGATATGCCCTGTATTAGGTCTCTTGCGACTAGGTAGGTATAAATCTTGCACACCTGAGCAACATGGCTAATACCAAAACTTAGAGGTCCGGATCACCGAAATACCAAGAGGTTTCCAATTCATATGCCCCTGCTGGCCCTGAAATCTAGTCACCAATCCGTCCATTTACGGCCCCCATATAAACCATTTCCTCCTTGGCCATGGTGGAGCCACCGAAGCCATCTTCGCCTACGGCCTTGGAGCATATCCATTCCAATCACATAGACATCCCTTCCAGCCCATCTTCTTTCACAGGCGGAGAAAGACGCTCTTATGTAGCGTTGGCAAAGAGTGAATTCACCGAATTTCCCTCGACACCATCTCCATGAAGCGTGACAGGAGTAACTATAGCCCTTCGCTTCAAGGCGGATAATATCGGCGTGCAGAGTTTCATACTATCATTGAATGTCATGGCTCGGTGGAAACCATGATCGAATCTCGAATCCTTCTCCCGGATTCCAAAATAAAGGGGGGGGAGAGAGTCGGCCCCTGAATGGAACTGCAATGCCTGCCGCACTGGTGGTACACCGTTTCAAGACAATGCGGGGTGAAACATGCAGACTTCTTTGATTTGGTACTCGATCTGCTACCGAAGCCGCCTGCGGCCGGGTTCATGGTGAAAACCATCCCGGTGTTGGTGTTGAGTCTCGTTTCAGCAGCGGTCGGGAATGCCGTTAGTGCCCGATACGGGACCTCCTCCCGAAAACGGGGAGTGTTGGGAAGAGATAAATCGGTCACGATATATCATCTGGCCCAGAGAATGCTGTACATGTGTTGGCTCTAATGTAGTCAGTACGGCCCTCCATGAACTAGCCGATGGCACTTTGGTCATTCACAAAGAGTATTGTGGTCCTGACGACTTTCTATCATACTGGGAGCAATGCTGCCGTTTTCTGTTAAATCCTGGTCGCAGGGCTGTGATTTAAGGGAAGCCAACATCTTCATACAAGATGGAGCACTATCAAAACCTGGACCGGGCAGAATGCGAGGGCCATGGATAATTCTTTCGGTGTAGGGGGAAACTCCCCGGGAATAATCCGCACTATTGGGTCAAGGAACAAAAGCGATCCAAGAATGATCTACGTTTCATATGTTGCGAAAATGCAAAATGTAACCTGGACTATGTTGCCTTGGGTGCTCCGAAACGGCAGGGAAGAACGGAGTGACTAGAAAGCATTTGGTGGGTCATCATCATATTTTCATCATCGTCAAGTGTCTCATTGAATACATACACGGCATTGTCACGTTGCGGGGAATTTTCTCCAGTCAAAAAGGAAAAGTAAAATGTAAAGAGTACGAAGTAAATGTTAAGAGATTATATCACGGACAAGGACATAAAAACTGTCTAACAAATGCCAGGGTTCATCAAGGGGCGTAAATCTTCAAAGGATGATTTAGATGCACTTAGAGGAAGCAGTAGATGAAGGAAAGGTGAGGCCGTGTATAGAGTTTTAAAGCCAGCGCAGAAAGCCAGAAAATTGGGGGGAGCAAACGAACAAAATCAGAGGTTCATGGTTATGACCGGGATATACAAGATATCCACACCTCTTTTTTTTGAGCCCGAAGGACCGGGAGAGCCAGTGGTGCTTTTGCCGGTTTGGATTGAGAGAGCCTGGGCGACGAGTTGATGCAATGCAAATATTTGCTGGGCCTTTGTGCCGAAGCCTGACTGGGGATGGGATGGTTTGGGTAATTCTGGCAGGCCATCATCCTCCCCTGTAAGGGGCTCCTGGACATTGATACCGCGGCCAACATGATCGTTTTCGAGTGGGCTAAATACCGCATACGTTTCGACTTCATCCAGACTTTCACCATCTTCTTCCTCATCGTCATCGTCATCATCTTCGCCGTCGTCGTCGTCTTGTAGACTATTGGCAAGCGCTAGGTCTTTTCGAGCATTTATCCAGGATTCTTCCGTTACAAAACCGACGACAAAATCACTATGAGCCCTACCTAAAGCAATCGCCGCCTGTCTCTGTCGGGGTGTAGATTGCGAATCACTAGGCAGGCAAATAACGATCCCCCTCGAGAGGACTGGTGGGGGAGGGAGGGCAGTGGCAGCGGCTGAGTCCTGGTCATTGTGCTGTGCAAGTTCAATCTCATCACAGCCACACGAGTCTTCTAGTTCTACCAAGGGCTTCGATAACTCGGCGTGTTGGGTAATAGTTCGAGTGAGAGATATCACTGAGGCTTTCCGTAGCGGCGGCGAAATATTGAGGCCCCCCAGCGTGGTACTAAGTAAATCCTGATCTTGCTCTTCGTCGTCATAGAGGTCGTCTCTACAATCGTCCATGCTAGTTCCAGCTGCACTTGGCGTTTGACCCCCGCTAATCTCTGTGCGGACAGACATGGTCGTGCGTGACACAGTTTCACGCGCAGCCCGGCGTAAAGTGGGAATAAGCTGACTGCCACCCTTGCTATGTTCCTCAGGCCCAATGACCCAAGTACTGGCCAATGCAGCCCAGGCTGCCACACTGATGCCCTTTGTGTAACGTTTCCGGGCCATCGCAATGTCCCTGGCGATTTCGTGGCCGGACAGTGGGTGCTGACCCGTTGGTCGTCGTTTCGTATTCAATATTCGCCCACCCTCCCACACTAAGAAACCGAGCCGTTTTGCAATGTTGGTTAATCTTCGAACGGCTTCAACGGACCAATCGTCGATGATATCGGCGTGAACTTGAAGCACAGCGATATAAGGGCCAACGGCACAGGCCAGCCTCAGGAGCGAGTCCATCGTGCTGATGTTCGGGGAGGCTGAGACACAAATAAGTTGGCCGTGCGGCAATGTCGTTTTGCTTCGATGGAGCAGACGTAAATAGGTCGTCAAGGGATTCCTCCTCGAGGACGTGGTCGATGCGTTCATTTTGCCAAATGTGTGCGTACTCCGTAGGCGGGACGCTGTCTCGGTGCTTCATGTAGCCAGTTAGCACCGTCAAGTCCAGATTAAAAGGAATCCCCAAGCAAATCTCACAGAGTAGGATCTAATGATGCCGGAATTGTATGTAGCAGCCCACGACAAGCAAAAGATCTGGAGGGTCTCTCGGTTGATAGGGAAGTGGCATGAAGATGAGGAAGCCAGAACTGCGCTGAAAAATCAGTTTCTCGCACCCTGCAGCGCCTAGCAATTAGTTGACTAGTTCTCGGAGAACAAACTATGCTGCCTGACAGAATTCCAATCAAAAGGGCGTTGGGCTTGTCGCGCAATGAATGCCCTTGTTTCCAACAGGATGCCGCCCTCACTGACTGGAGGAGGTCGGCTCAGCTCTGGGAAGATGGGTTGCAGTCTTTTCTTCGGATTCTAATATTAACAGTCCTCCTGCCATCCTGCCAATTAGCGAGGGCTGGCAGTGTTAAATATGGAAATCAAATCGCACCCTCGAAGGTGCAGACGCGGTGGGACGAGCTAGTGTGGGAACTCGCAGCCCATCACATTACCTGAGACTTGTCTGGAGTATCATCCTTGTGCGCCCAAGGAGTCAAGGACCGACAGAGACATTGCGGTTTGGCTGCTCCCTGCGAAGATCGAGTTAATTTTAACCGGCGCGATGCGGAGAAGTGGTGGCGCTCAATGGCGCTCAATCACAGCGCAAGGCTGGAGCTTGGGGCAGATCAGGTCTGGCGGCACAAAAGGGCGAAGGAATCGTCTTTTGGCATCCGGCTCCACCAGTCTAGCATCTGCGCTCGGCTAGATACCACCACCATTGGGTGCTTTTCTCCAGAGCAAGACGCCTCTGGGGCCAGGCGTCCTGACAGTGTTCGATGCACCAGATTGCTGGCCCAATCTGAACGGCATCTTGCCCCTCTCTTGACCTGCGAGTCGACGCTTCTGTTGGCGAGACCCTCTGATTTGCTCTGCAGGGTCAACCCTATTCGCAGATCATTTGCTCCCCAATCGAGGAATGCAATTCATCCATTCGAGGATGACAGGTTGCTGTCATTAGTGTTCGCCTTTGCGGCCTTGCTTTCTTTAATTACCCTGATCCAGGGATCATGGCTAACAAGGGATTGGGCTGGCCAACTCCCGGCTGCACCGTCTTGTGTCCATGCTCCTGCGTCAAATGTCAAATGATTTCCTTCCGCAATTTCGGTCCAATCGAAGTAGTCTAGAGACCCTGGAAGGCTTCATATGTGGCTTCACCCAGGGCAATGGTGCACTATCATTCTACTCTCCGTCGACCCGATTGGGTGACGGCTCCAGACACTCAGCGACAAGAATGGACTTGGGCGGCTGGTTCAAGGTTCCCATGATCAGCCGTGAATCTGGTGGCAGCTGTGTTGTTTTTTGTCAACCCGCATTGTCTCTCAGAGGGAAGACTATCAGGATCGAGGCGGGAAGATTGCACAACAGGCGCCAGCAACCAGCCCTCTCTGAAACCGATCGAAGCATTGGAAACTCGGGTAATATCTGAAGGACGAGCCCCGCTCTCCTGTTCAGGGCATTTTTGATGTCCTCGGCGAGAGCAGGATGCTCGTAAGCTTATTCGGTTTCGTTCCACTTCAGTGTCTATCTGGGCGGGAGTCGAAAGGCTTTTCCCAGTCTAGCCTCTCAGTTAACTAACTAGTGATATCGGGTACTTCCCTTGGAGTCAGGGGAGCCCATGCGGTACCGAGTACGGATGACGAAGGATAACTACATTGGGATAGATGCCAAATTGTGGCAGTTGAAACTTTCATTTTGAGGGCCTTTGCAGAGGTCTTCCGAGCTCTCAAAGACATGGCACCCTGTAGAAGAGCATCGTCCTACGAAGGTTCAGACATGAGCTCGAGCATCAACATGCAAACGACACTTCTGTTATTGCAGCCAACCATTCGTGCTGGGAAGGTTCGCATAACGGAGTAGACCTTGTGCCAACCTGAGCTGTTAGATTCTCTGGGCTACTCGGTAGTTACAAGGCCTTGACAAATCTTCTGTCAGTCGAATTTTAAGTTACGACCGATGACTGCTTGTGGCATTTGGTTGATCATCGTATTCGACACGGCAGTCTCTCTAATAATCAGATAAGCAAGAAGTTTGTTATCTCTTTAACAGCAATATCGAGTCGTAGGTGAAGGATACATACTTCGTGGTAGCTGATCAACCAAGGTTGACCGTGAGTTTGAGCTGCTGACAATCAGGTGAAAAGATCAAAGAGCATCGGGCCGCTGACCACAACCCAGGCCCCCGGGCTAAGTTTTCTCGGGGCAAAAGAGTGCTTAGATCATCGCTGGGAAGCTTATTACGAAGCCCCGGAGGAAGGCTTCGCTCGTTGACCCGTTTCTTTCTCTCTTCCGTGTCACCCCATCCCGGATCTCCCAACGCTCGTTAATTCGCTCCAGCGTCCTACAGTCTTTAGACCCTCGCCGGCTTGTCCGGAGCCTCTCATTTATCGTTTGCATGTTCTGAACAGCCCTTCCGCTTCGAACACTCCACCTCCCTTCGCAAGCCTTCTCTGCCGTCTTCGACCCCTTCAGTGATGCCTGGACGAACTTTGCCCACTTTTACCTCCGCCGAAGTCAAATCACACAATACGGTGAAGTCATGCTGGGTGACACGGGGCTCAAAAGTGTATGATGTGACCTCGTTCGTTGGCGACCACCCTGGCGGTGGAGATTTGATTCTGGAATACGCAGGAAAAGACATCTCTCAGATTCTGGAGGACGTTGTATCCCACAAACACAGCGAGGCAGCGTATGAAATACTGGACGAATGTCATATCGGATTTGCGGCATCATCGGATTCAACGTCGAAATCAGCGCTGAATGGGGCTGTGAATGGACATGTGAACGAGCACGTAACCCAGGGCGATGGGCGACCTGTTTACGCCACGACGGGATTGTCCAGCGAAGAGGATCTTTCTGTTGATACCGACCCGATGGCTGATTATAAAGTGCACAAATTCCTGGATCTAAATAGGCCGTTATTTGGCCAGCTATGGTTCGGCGGGTTTTCAAAGGAGTTTTACCTCGAACAGGTACATCGTCCGCGGCACTACAAGGGCGGCGCGTCGGCGCCCCTATTTGGCAATTTTCTCGAACCTTTGACCAAAACCGCGTGGTGGGTGGTACCGATGGTTTGGCTTCCTTGCGTGGCGTACGCGACGGTAACTGGTTTTGCTGGTCTCCAAAGCATGCCGCTGGGATCCTTGTACTGGCTGTTTGGCCTGTTCTTTTGGACATTGGTTGAATACGTGTTGCACCGAGGTCTTTTTCACATTGACGGGTAGGCGAGACCAGCGTTCTTTTCCACACATTTTCCGGACCAGGGCGCTAACGGTGATTATAGGTATCTTCCAGATAACCGGGTTGGCCTAAGCCTTCATTTTCTCCTACATGGAATCCATCATTATTTGCCTATGGACAGATACCGCCTCGTTATGCCCCCGACGCTGTTCCTTATCCTAGCCGCGCCCTTTTACAAGCTTGCGCATCTCGTTTTCTTCTACAACTGGTATGCGGCTGTGACCGTGTATGCAGGAGGGGTATTTGGATACGTGTGCTATGATTTAACACATTACTTCCTTCATCATCGCAAGTACGTATCATACCTCTTTGCTGAAACGTCATTTATCCCGGTTACAGTTACTGACAGGCTCTACCATTCAGCCTACCTTCCTATTACCGCGCACTGAAGAAATACCACCTTCAGCACCATTTCGCTGACTATGAAAATGGGTTTGGTGTCACCAGCCGTTTCTGGGACAAGGTGTTTGGAACAGAGCTAGCACCCCTCCAGCCCCCCAAGTCTGACTAGCCTTCCTCACCTCTCCCTTCGATCCTAGATGCGTTGCCCCCTTCGCTTCAAGGTGTAAGTTACGATAAGCCTATAGCCTTCAATTTTACTCTTTATGCTATTTTTCTCATTTGAAACTTCTAAACACCCGGAATAATCTCCTTCTGACTGTGCGTTTCCTAGAGCTTCTGGTTCTTTTAACTATTACTTTTTAATTAATACCCCCAAGCGATGGATACGGTGGAGTTAATTAATGGTCCGTGTGCAGCTTACATGTATAATACTTTTTCAGTTGATATCGAAAAGCACACATGCCGTCCTACTACCAAGCCGTTTGATATTTGCGATAGAGGCATCGCAGTTGCTTATGTCATCATGGTGACTAAGCCCAAGAGCCGCCAAGCCGGTGGCAAGATGCTCCATCTCATTCTTATTTTCAGTCAATTTTCACATCCTCCCCAGCTACAGATCGCAAGAGGGAAGCCAGCCCATGTTTGGGTTTTATCTCGCCAATTCGAACTAAGCGCTGAGTGGCAGAAGTGCAAGGGTCCGGCCTAGAAGTACTTTTCTACAAGCAACAAGGGTTCGCGCAAACCACACACTCTTCAGCTATCGCTTCTAACGAAACCCAAAGTGATCTACTTTCTCTGCACCCGCATCTCTCCCGTCCTGTAAAAAGGTTTGAATCCAACGTATCTTCAATATGTCAGGTATCGATGTTGAGGCTCTGCTCGAGTCGACTGCTGAGCCTGGACCAAAGCAACAGCCAGAACAACCAGCCAGCCAGACCAACGACTCCGACTCCAAGAAAGACCGTAGTGATCGTCGCGATCGTGATCGATATCGAGATGGCTCGCGCGATCGTGACAGAGACCGTCGACGCCGCGACCGGAGTCGTGAACGGCGATCCGAAAGAGATGCCGATGGAGACGAGGAGATGACAAGTCCAAAGAGCGATCGCGCAAGTGCTAACGGGAGCTATAGAAGCAGAAAGAGAAGCAGGAGCCGCGATAGCGACAGACGTCGCTCCCGACGCGATCGCTATGGCGATGATCATCGCTCTTCAGGTGGCGATTTCTACCGAGGTCCTGGTCGTGCTCGCAGCCGATCTCGGTCTCCCTACGATGACAGGTATTATAGGCCCACCGGTAGACCTCGCCGTGACGATGACCGTGATGACGACAAACGTCGTCGCCGCGAAAAGGAGGGACGCAAGCGGTCTCCCAGCCCCAAGCCCCGTAGTAAAACTCCCGAACCACAGCTTACCGAAGATGAGCGGGATAAGCGTACAGTTTTTGTCCAGCAACTTGCTGCCCGGCTGAGAACAAAAGAATTAATAGCCTTCTTCGAAAAGGCAGGACCAGTTAAAGACGCTCAGATCGTCAAAGACCGTGTTAGTGGGAGATCTAAAGGGTATGTCATTTCTCCCGTGCCTGCGTATCCCAATCAATTATTATATTCACGTATTAATATTCGGACTCCTAGTGTCGGTTACGTCGAGTTCAAGAACGAGGAATCAGTCCCAGTTGCCATTCAACTTACTGGCCAGAAACTTCTAGGAATACCCATCATCGCCCAGTTCACCGAAGCCGAGAAGAATAAGGCTGCCCGTAATGCTGAGGGACATGTCAGCGGGAACCAGAATTCAATTCCATTTCACAGACTCTACGTTGGTAATATCCATTTCAGTATCACTGAGAGCGATTTGCAGAATGTTTTCGAGCCCTTTGGCGAACTTGACTTTGTTCAATTACAAAAAGATGAAAATGGACGCAGTCGGGGCTACGGATTCGTGCAGTAAGCTATCCTACTCCCCAATGATTCATGTCTCTTGATCTAACCTCTCTGATTAGATTCCGTGACCCAAACCAAGCTCGCGAAGCCCTGGAGAAAATGAACGGTTTTGACCTCGCTGGTCGGCCGATTCGAGTTGGTCTTGGCAATGATAAATTTAGTTCCGACTCTGCAACGAATCTCATGCGACTGCAATCCCAGGGCCAGCAGGGCTCTCTTTACGGCCAAGGTGGCCGTGGGACACAAGCAGCTTCCAATTTCGACCGTGCCGGCGGCCGCGATAATGACAAAGGCATTGGAGGTGCCAGTGCTTTAGATGATACAGATGTTGCTGGTGTGAATTTCAACAATTATAGCAGAGACGCATTGATGAGGAAACTTGCGAGAACAGATGAACCTGCTGCAGATACCTCCACAGACGATAAACGCAAGGCCCCAAAAGCTCGCACAGAAGCTAAACCGTTACCAGTCAGTGTCAATATGGCGAGTAGATGTGTGCTCCTCCGAAATATGTTTGACCCCACTGAGTAAGTAACTCTCAACCTCTTGGATAAAATTACTCTTCTAACTTCTGAATAGGGAAGAAGGTGACAGCTGGGTTAAGGAGCTGGAGGATGATGTTCGCGCTGAGTGCGAAGAAAAATATGGTCATGTTGTTCACATTGCTTTAGACCCGAACACGCAAGGTGATATTTATCTCAAATTTGACCGTGTCCAGGGCGGAGAAAACGCCATAAAAGGCCTGAATGGCCGATTTTTCGGCGGACGACAAATCACTGCGCAACCCGTTGTCGACGCCGTGTACAGCAGCTTATTCTCCCGCACGAAAGCTATCTAAACTCTATTCCTGTCGGCTTGTTGAGGATTGAAGAGGATTGAAGATGATTGAAGAGGAATGGAGCGGTAGGTATTTTTGTACGGGATCCGGACAGAATATCATCCGAAAGCTAACGACATCGGCACTTTTACCCCAATATCAAGGAGCGTTTGATATCTAACATTGGATTAGGTCTTGCTCATGCTTTGTTCCCCTCGATTCCCTCAAGTTTCTTCAGGCTTTAGGTTGTATCTCATCTAGCCCCAGCAACCTCCCCCGATTTTCTATTCCTTTTGCCTTGTCTTTATGTAACCGACCACGTACAAAGAATAACGGTGCCTTTATATCTTTCCTCCTTCTGATAGTAATTTCTCTTAACTAACAAAGCTTTGACTATATAAAAAATACAGATTTTCCCTTGACTTCGTTTCTAGTTACGGTGCGAATTTCCTGAGGCCTGGTAGGAGTGATCAGCAAATATCCTTATGTTAGCTATTCACATTGATATCAACAGTCATTGCACATCTCTAAAAATTTCGTTCAACCCAGTAAGCAATTGGATTCTGAAGCTAGCCCCGCTGGCTTCCTTTTTTTTTCCAATTCCTTTCATGGAGTACTTGTTGCATGAAAAAATTCACTCGAAAGCCCCAAGGAGTTCGTTTCGCAACGGCTCTGTCTTTTAGCAGTCTTGTGCATTGTTTGTTCATTTTCATAATCCCATGTTTATACGCCCATTCTACCATCGGCCTGAATGAAGAGAGCCGGTCTTGACCTGTAGTATGAAGAATGTTGAAAAGGGGGGCTGTCAGCGCCTTGAGCTGAAATGCTCTTTGTTCTGGAAGTAGCGCTGCATATCCCTGTAACATTCACAGCCAATTTTCGGGACTCCAAATTGTGAATACTACTTATGTTTCATAACAACAAATTAACCAGGCAAACACTTGTGCCCCCTCTCTCTATCTCTTCACCTTCTCAACCTTGCAATCTCTTTTCATTAACAAACACATTGGGGACCGGCATGGTCTTATAAACCTTTCTCTTCCCCTCAAAGATCTCTGGGGGGATGCAATGTGCAACAGCTTAGCTGCACAGAAGCGCACGGTAAAGGTGGACTCGACTCCATTTTTCAATCTAGCCTATCAGTTGGAGCGGGCGCATCCCTAGATCGGGATGTCAAAGTCGACCTGGACCGTGTTCAAATCAAAAATGATCTCCTGGAGGTAGAAGCCAACAAGGGCATGATCCCATTCTCTCTTTGCAGAGTAGGGTCCTCGAACTGGAAGCATCCCTTCAGGCAGCCGGCGCGACGGAGAGCGGGGGACAGTTCTCGGTTGGCCTGAGATCCTTAAGTGGCTCAAACGTGTTGTCCGGTTTGTCAAATCAGGGGAAGAGTTCCCGTCAATCATAATCATTAAAGTCCTTAAAGGGGTTCATGCTTTAAACAGTCTTTGAACAATCACCAGTGGAAATTGGCCTGGGCCGAGCCAAACCTGACGAACAGCCGGAACCACAGCAGTCAGCAACGAGAACCTCGAGTAAGGGAAGCAAAACGACATCCGATTTATACGAGGCCTTGTTCGCCAATTTGCAGGCTGCAGAAGCACCAGACCCAATCTTTGACGCTGAGCATTTTGTTCTGAAGTTTGATTCATTGTTTCAGAACGTGGACGCGTACGCAAAGAAATACACAAAACCGCCAGGGGACTGGGAAACTGATTTTCAAAATATGATCGAGGAATTTAAATTGGATTTGGAGCTTGTCGCCGATATCCCATCTGTGTATGAGCTGATGGCTCATGGAGAACGGCGAGCCAGCAAAATCCACGATCACAACCAGGCAGGGCAGCAGCAAGAAGAGGCCGTCTAAGGACCTTGCACATCGTCCATTTTGGGGGTTTGGACAATAACTGAAATATCGCTTTAAAATTTATATTAGACAATGCTATGCTCGCCTTGTCTTTCCATTGACTGTTTTCCTTGTTGTATATCAGCTTCTCTGTAGTCTCTTCGCTGCCGGCGTTCAAGCCGGATGAAGCAAACAAAGCAAACTGCCCGTTTACAACTTTTCTAGCGGCTGCAACCCCAACCGGCGATGCATGCAGCGGGAAGCGCATTTGATTCGTGCCAGATCGACAAGAGGCCAGCAGAAGACATTCTGCCTTCTCGCCCTTGACGTTTTGCAGAAATCGAGTCTCGCTATGTCCGTCGTGGACTGCTGACCTCCTCCAGGAACGTCGCTGCCGTCTTGTCTGGAGGGCCGTCCATGTCTGTACTTCAATGAGTTCACGTCTTGTGAAACCAGCAAGAGTCCATGCCTGGACGCTTGCTGATAGCTATAGTATGCCCTTGAGTGTCCGCATATATATCTACTCTGAAAGCCAACTAATTCGTATCCGCTATCTTCTCAGGCTTCATCGCAACCTTTATCCGCCGCCAGCATACAGATGCTATCTCGGGCTCGCAGGCTCAACATGAACTCCAGCACCCGCGGGCACCCGGTAGAACAGGCAAGCAATCCGAGCGACGGCATTTCCATGACTACTTCGTGACCCATCTGCCCGTCTCCTCTCTCCACCCGGATTCTCGCATATCGTCCGGTCCGCTGCACCATCTTCCTCGGTCGGAATGCACTCCGCATGACGGTCCCACAAAGGGAATATCGCCCGCCGCGGTGCTGTCGCCGGTAGGCGTATCGCGTGAAACTACCGTTGTGCGCATTCCACTCCGGAGCGCAAAGCACCACTTTGGCGCATCCGTATCGCGTGGATCGCGTCCAACAAATGAAGACACATACCAGGCAGGCGTCATCGAACTGCCTGCGTTTGCAAAACGGCCACCGCTATCCCTCACAATCGGCCGACGATCCGAGGACGCAGTGTCGTCGAGCGCACCGGCAGAAAATCGGGTTGCTGAAAACGCTACAGGCGATCCCCAGGTGTTTTATTTTGGCGTTTTTGATGGACATGGGGGCGTTGTGTGCAGTGAATTTCTCAGGGATAAACTACATGCATATGTTCAAGAGGCCGCCATGGCGTTTGAGCTGGGATCCAGCCTTGGGAAGAATACACAGAAACCAACACTGCCTTACAGACCTGTCCGGAACAGGGAGGCTTTTCGAGAAAGCCAACAGGCCTACAGCCACGACAGTGGCAAATCATCTTTTCATTCATCGAGCGAAGGGCACGGTGGGAACTCTATACTCTCAGGTGACCTGCCAATCTTACACCCCGGGAACAGATCGGTCATCGGTGAACTCGAGAAATCGCTAGTCAACGACTGGAGGAATCTGGTCGGTGGTTATTTCAGACGGTTTAAACCAGCCCACTTTTGTTATTTTGGGGACAACGACCTTCACTCCGATGGGTTCAGTCCTGGGCCCCATAATCTCGGCTTGGACATGCATATGGGTGTACCGATTGAAGAGGTGCTAGAATATGCCTTTCTGAAAGCTGATTATGACTTTATCAGCGATCAAGCCTCAAAACATGATGACGACTCTGCTCGTGCCGAAAGGCCGTTGAATGAGCTGGACATTCTTCATAACCCGGGTCGACTGAGAAAGGCAACGGTGGGAGGGTCGGCCCGTTTCAAGGGCGGGAGCACTTGCAGCATTGCCATGATATCTACGCCCACGCCAGCCCCTTTTTGGCACCCTTCAGCGCCATCGTCATTGGTCGTTTCGCATGTTGGTGATACTCGAGTTCTCTTGTGTTCTACTGCTACTGGTGGCGCAATTCCGTTGACAACAGACCATCATCCTTCTTCTCCCGTTGAGAGTAACCGACTACGCCGCTATGCCACCTCCATGGTCACCGATTCCTTTGGGGAGGAGCGCATCAGCGGTTTGGCAAATAGCCGAGCGTTTGGCGACATTCAGTCAAAACGCATCGGGATCTCAGCGGAACCCGAGATTCGACGCGTCGAGATGGGCCCCGCGGAGTATTCATTTCTTGTTCTCATGTCCGATGGCGTAAGCGGCACTCTGTCGGATCAGGAGATTGTGGACATTGTCAAGGAGGCAAAAACGCCAGACGAGGCTGCGCGTGATGTTGTCAACTTTGCGACAGAGGTATCGAAAGATGGAGACAATGCCACCTGCCTGGTGGTTCGACTCGGGGGTTGGGAGAGACGCCTTGAAGGAGGGCTGGGTAGCCTGAGCACCAAGGAGTCGAGAGACTGGCGCAGACAAGAAGCCTCTGATCCGCGAGGGCGACGAACATGAAAATCGCATGACGACCGCTAGCTTTCTACCTTGCAGTAGTTTACGGAGTAGTTTTTTTGACGATTCTGTCTTGGGCCACTGTTGCATTCTCTGACGTTTCATGTGTATGGCTCGTACATGTTTAATTTTCTTTTGGGCATTTTCTATTCCCCTTTAGATATTGTTTAATTCAGCTACGAGTTGCGATTGCTTCTAAGTTTAGACGGCCGCATCGTGAATCCCAGTTCAATTCTCCTTCGGAATGGGCGGGTCATTAGGCTGACAAGTTAACTAACTGGTTAGCTCCGTAGGCAAAAATTCAAGCTCCGCAAACCCTGACAGTGGACAAAAACAGTGTCGACGCCGCAACTCCGGACACCATCTGCCGCAGGTTAGCAAACGTCTGCGCAAACAAAAGGCATCTCTGATTGTCTAACCGCGCAATCAGGCAGCTACAAGTGTTCTTCGTCTCGACTTGAGTCCCGCCTTTTCTGAGCCCCCTCCATCCATGCCGCGTTGAAACCATCCTTCGAGGCAACATCCCTTTCGACACACTCCTTTACAGCTTTTCGATTTACCTGCAAGGCAGCTTTTAATATTTTCTTTCACTTATCACCATCCTTTTCTTGCTTTTTTGAGATTCGATTCGGTGCGGTTACATAAGTCTCGGGTGTTGATTCTTGAGAGCGAGGAGGTGGTCACAGTGAACAGGCGTCTAATCTTGGTATATATTCTCCTATTATTTCGCTCTGCAGCCGGGAAGCGGGAGGGCCATAGGTCTCCTTCTTGTTTATGGGATGAAAAGTGTCGTTAAAGAAGTTGTTGCTGACTGCTTGTTCTCGCCGCGACTGATCAGGGACACCGGCCGCAATTGCACCAAGCCTATAACATCTCTTCCATCAGGCATCAACTGCTTTAAAACGCGCTTCACCCACACCTCTGATAACTCCTCTGCCTTCAGCTTTTTGATTTCTTGGTCGATCACTTCCAGGTTAACACGTTCGCACTTCTCCCGGCAAGAAAAGAACTGCCAGTATCACACTTGTGCATCAACAACACAATAGCGCGATGGCTGGACGAGGGAAGAAGCAAAAGGCCTCTGAGCCCTCAGAAATTCAAGACAATCATGCATCAACTAGCAGCAATGGCACCATCCGCAAAGGGAGCCCAAGGCGCAATCAACGCGCCCCCACAAGCGGTGAACAAAGCGAGAACATTTTCCTCTTCTGGCCGAACATAATTGGTATGGCTGTCCGTCACTGCCCTGTTGGCTGCGTTTCCCATGCTGACCTTTGTTGTGGCTCCCATTAGGATATACGCGGATTGTCCTTGCGGTTGCCTCCCTGTACTACATGCCCCTTCATCCTCGCACATGCTCGTTATTATATAGCATTTCCTGCCTCCTCGATGCGCTCGACGGATATGCCGCCCGTTTCTATAATCAATCTACGACGTTCGGTGCCGTTCTAGATATGGTCACTGATCGATGCACAACCGCCTGCCTCCTAGTCTTCCTGAGCTCGGCTTGGCCACGTTGGGCCATTTTATTCCAAGGCTTAATCAGCTTGGACCTTGCCAGCCATTATATGCATATGTATGCAACGTTGAGTATGGGTGAATCGGGTCAGAGTCACAAAAAGGTCGACTCGAGCAGGAGCTGGATCCTGTATCAGTACTATAACAACAAGGTGAGTTTCACGGCAGATTCACCAAGGTGTTCATTGTTAATGAAGTGTAGATCGTACTATTCGTCTTTTGCACCATGAACGAGTTGTTTTTCATTGGGCTGTACCTCCTCTCCTTTTCGTCGCCAACTCTCTCGCCGTCGCTCCTCCAACCAACCCCTGATGGCGCAACTGCAGGATCCGCACAGCCCGGTTCACCAGCTTTGGCTCCTATCTCGGCCCTTTTTGCGAGTCCCTGGAGCGCCGGTGCCTTGGAGCTCGCAAGAGCCAACAAAATGGACAGTTTCTGGCCCTGGGTGATCACCGGCATCGCCGCACCAGTTATGGCGGCTAAGCAATTTATCAACATCGTCCAAATGGTGAAAGCTAGCAAATGGCTTGCGGAAGGTGATATCATCCGTCGCCGCCAGCTTGGTTTATCCAAGACTAGATAGGCCGCGAAACGAGAAGATCGATGCCTCGCGTTTCAGCCCCTGATATTAGTATGCATCCGATTGCTTTGAGCACACATTCGAGAACCGGCGCGCTTCTTATGGTTCCCTAACAACCACTTTTTTTCATTTTGTCGGAAATATGATAATGTTTTCATCCTATCCACTTTTAATCAGTTTTGTATGGATGAAAAATGCTTTCGTTCATATTGTATAGGATTTATTTATTGTTGGAGTCGTGGACCGGTGCCACTGTAAGGCTTGCAGAATCTCCACGCCGCCGAGGTCTCTGCTATATGTTTTAGTCCCCCCCCAATATCACAAGGGTATAATTAGATTACTCAACATCACCATGCATGTATGAAGATTACAACACCAGGATCAGAATCCATAAAACTCACAAATACATAGTTATGTATCGTTCTGGATCTCTCTGCTTGTGTGTTCTTACAAGCTCTCAAACTAAGAATTATAGCTCCCTATGCTGGAGTAGTTGGGACAAGTTAGCTAGTTAGCTATCAGCCAGTATACACTGAATTTAGTGAAAAATCCACTCAATCCATTTCCATTCCATCAAAAAGTGGCTCAGGTACTCTGCAAGGTAGTGTCGTCACTTGGCTTAGCTATGGTGGGATCAAGCGAGTAGCTTCTTATATTACAAACAGGGCTCTAGCTGAAATCCACTGCCCTCCCCAGCACACCATCGGGTGGCATATATAAACACTCCACTTTACTCCTACGCTTACCCCTTCTATGGAGATTTCATGGTTTTCTGTTCATTATTTCTCTAGTCTTCGCTGTACCGTGTAGCGGATCAAAAAGCAGGCTTGATAGGCATTCCAAGCGTATGGGCGGATAAGGAGCTCATTGTTAATGACTTGGCACCGCTTCATGAAAACAAAGCTCAGACCTTTACACTACAAGGAGGATAGCACTGATATGCCGTGATTGACACGGAAAATATGCCGGATAGGGGTCAAGGCGACTGAACTACTGCACATCCTCTGAAGGGGACAGTTTGGAAATGTCGTTCAGTTTTGGGTAGTTCCCTGTGATCCCACCCACCGAAACTAAGCAGAAATTCAAGAATGGCCTTGTTAAGAATGGGGCCTGTTTCAAATGAAAGTCGGTTGGGAAAGCGGTTTGCAAGGTGTCAAGCGGTGTGACCCAAAGCACCGGACAATGGAACGACAGCATTGGAGCAAACAGCGGTTTGTGTATTCGGCATTTATTCTGAGCGCAGATGGGAGCTTAAGGGTGGCGTGTGGTTTAGCCGGGAGGCCGAATTCTTCATTCAGGCTCGAGGGATTCTGGAAAGTTATTTTACTGTACGGAGGATCTTCCGTCAAGACGGTACGATCCCTGGAGAACTTCAGTTACCCCCTACGCGGTACTCCGCATCTGCATGAGCAGCCCCGAAACTTATTCTTCACTGGGCTGCTGGTGGCTCCGAGTCCCGGTTTCAGCAGACTTTCTTGCGTTGCGTTGGGTTCGGTTCGTATTTAATAATCCTTGAGCTGTGTCTCTCTCGGTAACGAGATCCCTGCTAGAGGAATAATAATTCTCATGATGCAGGTCGCCAGCGCCTCCGGCTGCCTCTTACGATCCCACGATCTTGTTGATAATGCGGGCGTTTGCCGTGCGCTTCAAGCTGAAAATTGAGTTAGCCAACGATTGGTAACTCGGTCGCCATCATGGAGATCTCCCGCAACCTTAGTTGAGGAGTTCCAAATGTTGAATTGGAAGTTGGGCTTGAACCAAACAGATCAGCCTGATGGTCATGAATCCACGCCTTTAATTAACCGGCGGACGGGGTAATTCACCTTCCAGTTTTCTAAAACTTGGCGAGTTTTAGCGGTTGTAACGTATGATTTTCCGCACCTCGCCCAAGTCTGTTGGTTGAAGCTCTCGTTGAAGCGCTATACATCCATGCTCTAACCTTCTTTTTGGAGGATGTGCATGGTTTTGTTTTCCTTGCAGCCAATGAAAAAGGGTGCGAACTGCATGAACTCACCTTTTGCCGTCGTATTTTCTCAAAACCGCCTTTTCCAGCGTTGGAGGCGACGGAAGTTTCGAGACCCGGAGCCTCCGTAAATATACAATCAACTCCGATGAGACTTGCTGCAGATTTCACATTTCTCCATTTTAACAAAAAACAAAAGTGCAAGGAGACTCCATGGCGGATGCTACAAATGCCGAATCACAGGTATGTCCGTTCACTATTCAGACTGCGTTTCAAGGGCCCCGTGGTGAAAAAAAGCCCGGTAGTAGCATGAGCTGATCGAGTGTTAGGAACTTCGTTCCAAGCAACCAGAGCCCAGACCCGCGATAGCAATTGACGTACGTGCTTGATATTCGCGCCTATTCTGAATACTGTACCGATGGCTGTCGGCTGACGTTATCGAAGTCGGATGAGCAAGAGGGCGATGGCGAGCAACAATCATATAACTCGGA